CTAGATTTCCTTTGTTCTTTTCTTGTGTTAAATGATATTTTGAATTATGTATTTCTTTGAATTAGGTATTTTGCTTTGATTTCTATTGGGCCGTTATCATTTGGATATTTAGTTTTTTTTAGTTTGTTTTGTACATCTGTTTCCTAGGTTTAACCTGCCCATTAATTGTTTATTTCTTTTGTTTTGAGTTGCAACTCCCCTAATTATATTTTATCCCTGTTTCAGTTGTCGGAGGCCGGTGGCGGTGTTGGTGACTGGTGGTGGTGACTGGTGACTTATTTATTTTAACTGATTACAATAAAAGATATATTGTTATACCTTGAACCACGTCTCCCGCCAAGTGAATAGAGCGAACCTGTGTGTGTCCGTAGTTAAATCCAAAATTCCCTGGGTGAAATTCCCAGGGTGGCGTTGTTGGGCAACAGTGAAAATTTCTCGACCTTATTTGGCCTCTGTTAGTGATAGCATCCACCCTACCCTCGCCACACGTCTAACAGAGCAGAGACAGCTTCCCTGTGTGTTACTGGGGGGCCATCAGCTCTAAGAAAACCTCTCTGCTTCCAAATGTTTCCATGTATGTGACACACACCATATGCATAAGCTTAGTCTGTGTATACATTAAGATGCTTTCCTCAAGCTAACTTAAATGCGGATGTTAAAGCTTTGATTTCTGCAAGTTGTGCATCACATGGTTGTGTAACCTTGGATGCTTGAATTTCTGTAAAGATGTTATCTGATTGTACGATGGCGAAACCAGCATGGTTTCCTGTAGCATCCTTGAAACAGGAGCCATCTACAATCAATGTGAGATCTGCTGTGATTGGTTGATTATACAGATCATCACATGCTTGTCTGTTGTTTGGACACAGTCATGCTGCATGCCATCCACAGGCAACACGATCCTGATTGCAGGATTCACTGTGTTGCATCTTTGGATGGTGAGTTCAGGTGCTGGAAGAACTTCAAAACCTGTTTTTATAGCTTGAGGTAGAACGAACCATGGACTTGTGAGCAAGGCATGTAATTGGTGAGATGTGTATAAGACAGCCTTGTGTCCATGGCTGAGGCCTTTTGAAAAGCAAAGGCTGTTGCTGCCAATCCCTGATAACAGGGTAGCAGGCCTGATTCAGTGTTATCCAGTGCTGTAGTAGGCTAATGGCTGTTTACCTGTCTAACTGTGGGGGAGAAATTAACCCCTTATCTCCACACAGAGTTCTGCCCAGATATTCAACTTCTTTTTGAAAAAATTTAAGTTTATCTTTGCTGACTTTATGTCCTCCTTTTGCTAGAGCTGTTAGCACTGCAATTGAGTCTTTTTCACACTGTTGTTTGGTGGGAATACTAATTAACAAACCATCCATGTACTGGATCATAGTACTTGGAACGTCTAAGTGTTGCAGATCTTGAGCAAGCACTCTGTTAAAAATTGATGGGCTTTCTACATAGCCCTGTGCTAGGTGCATGTATTGCTGTCCTTGATAAGTGAATGCAAAAAGGTGTTGTGAATCTAGATGCAGTGGCACACTGAAAAAGGCTGAACATAGGTCAATAACCGTATACCAGCGTGCATCAGATGGAACATTTGAGAGCAGCGTATGGGGGTCTGGAACCACAGGTCTCTCAGCATCAACAATGGAATTGATAGCTCTAAGGTCATGCACTAATCAATAATCATTACAGTGTGGCTTCCTAATTGGAAAAATAGGAGTATTGCAGGGGCTATTTGTTTTTACCAAAACCCCTGCCTCCATTGGGCCCTGAATTGTGGACTTGATTCCTTCTATAGCATGTTGCTTCAGTGGATATTGTTTTCTATATGGCAACCTGACTCCTTGTTTGAGCTTGATGTGTATGATTCGCTTTTTCTTTCTTTGCTTTAGTTAATTCATTCAGCTGTAGCTGTGTCAGCTTGTTGGCCAGGTATGTGTTAGCGTCTTCCTCCTTCTGTTTTTCCTTTCTATAGGTTTCCACATGGTGCACAACATGCTCAGAGACCAGTCCATTTTCATGAGGCCCACAACATTCTCCAAATGCTTTTGCACTTCTTGTGGCATGGCTTTCTTTGCCATTACTTTGAACAAAGCTTCTGTGATGTTAGTGATGTTCCAGGCACTTCCTGTTTCATCTCTCCATTCTTGTTGAAAAGCATGTAGGAACTTTGACGGACATTCACCGTCTTTCAGTGTTTCTCCATCCAATTTAAAAGGGGTCCATCTTTTCCGGATACTACCTTCTCAACTGGGCCCACACTATGGTGCGGTGTCTACCAAAGCCCACACTGTCTGCTTTATTTCTATCCACCACCAATGGCAGGTCTGCTGCATTAAAGATGTCTTCTGTGTTTTCCTGCTTTATGCATAAGCAGAGCCTTAATGCCACCTAGTGCTAGCGTTACTCCCTCTGTGCTTTCTTCCAGTGCAGTTCCAACAATATCCATGAATGACCATGGCACATACTGGGTCTGTCCCTGTGCCTTAGTTATTATGGGGCACTTGAGTTTAGCTTTATCTTGTTCTTGTTTGTCCTCTTGCTCCCCTTCTTCCCTTCTGTATTCTGGACATTGTTTTGCGGGGATTTTCTCCTCCCATTCGTCTTCCACTTCTCAAGTGCATGGGTGATGGTTCTGACATTTCTCTTATATGGTGTATTTGGCGGTCTATTAAATTTGACAGTTTTCCTTGAACACTGTCTAATTGTTGACTTGTTTCAGCGAGGGATTCTTCTGATATCATGACACGTGGTTTCCATCTGTGTCTCTTGTGCTGTCCTTAGAATATCATTTACAGTTTGGCTCCTTTCCAATCTGCTTCCAGGTCTATATTGTCCACGTTCTTGGCGTTTCCCTGTTTCCTGTTGTGCTCTTGTTTGGGTCACTGTCATTACTAGTTGACCTTTGACCTCTTTCAGTTGTTGCATTTTGCTTTCCCTGAATGCATACGTCCTTCTCTGACACCTCAGCTTGTTCCACCACTTGCTGCTATTTTCATCTATCTATCATCTCTGTCTCCCTCTGACCTTTCTTCTTCATCTTGGGATGTATCTCCTTCAGACTCATCATCCTCAGTTTCTGTCATTATTTCTTCTTGTTTGTCTTTAACTCTTCTGCCCTGCTTGTTCATTCCATGTCACTGTGAACTTCCCCTGCAGCTCACCTTTTATTTTCTGTTTCTCATTTTCCTGTTGTGAGAATATGGTGGTGGTCTGCCAGGCCATGGTGGGGCAGTAGGCTGCTGTTCTTGTTTTTTTATTTTTTCCTTCTCACTCTCTCCTCCTGTTTCTCTTCATCTTTTAACAACCTCACCACATTTAACCCGGTACACCACTATTTCAACACACATTCTCTTTAATCTGCGAATAAACCACACTATTGTTTTCTGTGCGTCTGTATAAGGCTGATATTCACCCTACTTCATGGCTTATCTCACTCAGAGGCTTATAGTGATAACCACATCAACCCCTCCAAAAGGTTAGAAGCCAGCAGTCAATACACCCATTTAGCAGCATTTGATCAAACTCATTCACTCTTTCTGCTCCATGATGAGACATAGTACACATATTACACTTTAGACACACATTGAACATACTTGCATTCAACTATGTTCACCAGTGACTTTAATCTATTCAGTTTTAGTAGCATTAGACTTGGTGACTGTATTTAAATTTTAACATTTTTCATGCTTTATGTCTCATTCATTTTACAATAATTTTGACTAGGTTCTTTGGGGAAGAGACATTCTGATTTACCTTGCCTGGGCGGAGACCTGTACTCAGACACAATCAGAATTTGCAGAAATTAAAAAGGCTCTGCCTACCTCTGAGTTTTTTGTGGCCACTGGCGGTCTGAGATGCAGGCTGATCCTCCCAGGCAGGGGTCCTCGGGCTTCTGTCTCTCCGGGCTGGCTCGCCAATTTATGTTGGAGAAAAAAGTCCAGGTCCAGGCCAGAGTGTAATTCTAGACCTCGTCACCAACACTTAACAAAACTAAACTTCTACTTAGTCAAAAAAAAGACTCAAAAAGAAGTCACTGGAGATGGTCAGAGTCCAATGCAATAGAAGGTATTCTTTCACAAGAACTAAAGTGAAATCATAGTGCAGAGTCCAGTGCAATCATATATAGTTAAGTCATTCCTCCTTAGGTGGGTTCTCCACATATTGTATAAAGCAAACCTATTAACGCCAGGGGAACAATGGTGTCCAGCCCCGCGTGCAATTTCCCCAAACCAGGCATACCAGGGCATAGTGCTGGTGCCAGGTGTCCATAAGTCTCCTCTCTATCCCCAACCTGGGCCTTGCTACGGCTGCTTCTCCAACACCATTGCTCCCAGGGCCTTTCAGACCATTTAAAAAAAATGATTCCCTCCAGGTTCCATTCTACAACAAACTTACCTTCAATGCATAGTATATTTTTGTGAAAATTTACTACAAGTCTGACAGTAGCAGTGTCACAATTCAGGAGTCTCATCCTTCAGTCACAACGGCAAGACCAGACCTACCCATTTCAAAGGCTCCTTCAAATGTGTCCTTCTTTTCCCGGACCAAGAAGGCTCCAACAGATGGATCCTTCATGGTCTAGCCTGTCCCAAGATTTACTGCACACCAGTAATGAAAATAATATGGCACTGACACTGACAGAGAGCCTGAGGGATACACTGTTAAATGTAGGTACTGTTTCAGCTAAGCTCACAGCTCACAGTACAACTGTTAAAACCTCAGGTGTTTGTGAAAAAAAGTTATGTGTTGTCAAGGTTATGACAGTAGTTATTTGTCTGTGTGGAACACACCTTCCAGGACTTTCCAGGACTGATGGGACTTATGGTACTATGTTGGAGCAGATGTATATGATAGCTTGTTCATGCAGCAGGAGATCTGGATGCTGTGGTGACACAGGATGTTTCCTTCAGTCATCATGTGACTTCTGACAACAACTTGTGATAGGGCGCTGTCTTCAATCAGCACACAGAGTGTGACAGGACACATCCTCACTGATAACACCAGACATGTGAACTGTTCACAGGCTCATTTATTCACCGTGTGTTGGACGTACATGGTAATTGGATGGAGACAAATATAAGACATGAAGTGAGCTCAACCTTCAGAGGCACATAAGAAAATAACTTTACATACAAAGAGACATTTAGAGCTGCACCTTCATACATCAGCCAGGAATTCAGTTAAGAAGACCATCATGTAACATGAGTAAACACACCACATGTTAAGGCACTGGTACTGGGTATGAGACCTTCCTCTCTGCAGCCTATTTTATCATCAACATAAAAGACAATGTGTGTTTCCTACAGCGAGAGCAGGTGACTACAGCTTTAAGGTGGAAATGTTAGTTATGATTGAATCTGATGTTCAACAGTCCCAAGTTGTTAGATTATTAAACAACTTGTCATGATTTAGAGGATTGTTACGAGGCTCCTACACACTCTTCATTTTCTAATTCAACACTGTTTTGAGAAGGATTAAAGGACTCGATGTGACTGATCATAAAGGCGTTTGTGTTTTTCAGTTAGCTGGATTTGGCACAAGGTCATGTTCATGTTCATGTTATAATGTAAATAAAATGTCCAGGACTCTTCTCACAGGGTTTTAGATGAAATCTTGACTGCTGGTTTAAAACCAGATCAGTCATAAGGAAGAACAATGAAATAGAGTGAGTAAAATTGAAAATATAGTGATCAGTTAATTCATATAGACGACATGTTGTTTCCAGAGTAAACTGTTTACCAGCAGCAGTGTCAGGGCTAAGAGGCTCCTTTAGCTCTCAGCTTGGACAGCAGCATTTCATTCTTCCGACACTCCTGGAGAAAAGAAAAACATTACGTCATCATCATCATCATCAGTCACCAAGGCCAACAGATTCATGTTATGATACACCTTTACTCTCATCAGTTAACCAATAATTTATAGTAGATTTCTGACGACACTGTAATTTGATTTTTTTATGTCTTAATATCTGCCACTCGTGTTTCCATACATCGGCCTGTCTGATATCCAACCACTTTGATCACACACATGTATCAGTGTTGGCGTGTACGGCAGCTGATTAGTGACAAGAAGCTGCAGGACAGAAATGACACAGATGTGTTTTTGTCTCCATTTCAGTGTGTCCTGCAGAGAGCACTAACAGCTGTAACTGTCCCACTCAGGACATAATCCTGGTCCCAGATTTGCAGGGATCCCAGTGTTTGTTCATGTTACAAGTTTCTGATAAAGCAATATCTAACCATGTGTGGTGATCTGTGTTTTGGTCTTTAAACTACAATCAGAACAAATGGCATCAGTAACCGAAATGTGTGTATTCTTAAAAATACTTTAGTTTTTTAAAACCTTTTTCAACCTTTGCAAACTTTTGGAACTTTCTGGTCATTTTTGCAGACTTCTTTTATGCTGATCCTACAAATTAGGAATAATTGTCTAGATTATTAAGTACACCTACAGTAGCTAAAACCACTGGAGTCTGATTCAGCAGTCTGAAATTAAATTCTCATGTTGAAAGTTATAATAGTAGTATAATAGTTTTTTTGTTCATTGGCTTTTATGGTCATTTTAGAGGCTGTAGTTTGTGTTATTGTGTTACAATGAGGTGTTTTTAATATTTTGTAACAATTAGGGAACCTGGTACAATCAGTTAATCAGTCTATACTCAATGGTTGTATACTTCTTCTATTCTAACTGTGTTCTCTAAAAGTCTGACTTTAAACTGCTTCCTATCAACACCTCTCAGCTGTCAGGTAACTTCATCCATAACTAATGAAGGTGTTAGGTCACCTCTTTAAAGTCCTTGACGGTTTTGAAGTAGAGCCTCCTCTTGTCGAGCAGCTCCAGGTATTCATCGTTCAGCTGATCTCTCCTCATCTTGTTCTCCTGCTTCTTCTTCTCCATCTGGAAAAGTAAAGAGTTATCAAAGGTGTTGTAGCAGCTTCTGTTGTATAGCTGGAATGACTGTTGAATGGACTCAGCCTCTGGATAATTCTGCTTGATGAGGCTGTGAAACTTGACTCATCGTTTGATCTCTCTCAGTTTGACTTGTGCTCAGCAGTGTCACCATGTGCCCAGATCTCAGCAGGTAACACAGTGAGGACAGTTTGATCATAACCACAAAAGAAATGGTCAAACGTATGAAAATAAACTGCAACAGAGTAGAGTTTTACCTTGATGCGGCTCTGTTTGATTCCTTCCACTATTTGCTCCATCTGCCTGAGGAACTGCTCCTTGGCTGCTACAGATGACATGGCCCTGGACAACAGCACAGGAAATCACTGACAGACCAGGTGAAAACACACCTGTAGTCTCTACTGTACTATCACATCATACACCTCAGTGGGTCACATCACAAACATAAACAGGTCAGCATATGTACACTTACTGCTGGAAGTTGTCATGAATGGAGTTCAGCAGATTCACCTACAGAGTTAAAAGCACATGTTCTGATCATTAACATTAACAATGTACTGATGTAACTGTTTGTAACCTTAACTGTCTGCTGTGATTTTCACCTTCAATTTGTTTATTAACTGTATCAATATTTAAACTGTTTTGCTAAAACTAGAGAAGTTTAAATTGAAAGCCACATTTTAACTTTGCATAATTCCTACCTGTCTGTCTGCTGTGGTCACTCACCTCCTTCTCCAGATAAACTTTCTTGTCGTCCAAAGTGTTGTACAGAGTGAAGAACTGCTTGGTCTCTTTGTGTGTGGCAGAAACTGAATGAGAAGACACAGAATGAACAGAGATTGTCTTTGTACCTGGTTTGTTGGCGTTATTTGTTGTCAGTCATTTCTGATTGGACAATGCCACAGTGAGAGTGCTTACATGTTCACTAGTATCCTGGTTATGTTTTCTGAATGTACAAAGCTTATCTTGGTTTCAGAAATATGGATATCTACCTGGATTACTCCTACAGAATCATCTTAGAGAATCTCAGATGGTGAGATATCCATGTTCCATGTGAAGACCACATGCTGAATATAATCAAAAACAGGATAAGGCTCAAAGACAGGACCCAAGTGCTCATGTAAACACACTCAGTGTTCTTCAAGCACAAACTCTGATTGGAACAGATACAGAGCAGGAACCCACCTTGGCTGTAGAGTTCAATGAATCTCTTCTGGTACTGGGTCAACTCGGCCCGGCTCGGGACCTCATCGATCTTCCTGTGCAGGATGGCGATCTCACGGTTCCGGCGAGCCTGAACAGAGAGAGGAGGAGTCCTGAGTGATCCAGCTGGAGGAGCAGAGTGTCACTGAGATTCCTCACCCAACATCTGGATCATAAAGAGGAGCTCTGAGGGTATTCATGACTCTTATCTTTCATTACATGACTAATGGAATAACACATGTGCTGCTAGTTTTCCTGGAGTCCAGTATCTGAACTGACCCAGGTAACTGGTTTCTGGAAATACTGGAAACTTTCTCTTAAATCAATTATGTCCATTGTAATGGAGGTTTCTCCCAGAGGTCGACGACTGAACCAGTGTAAGTAGTAAATGCAGTAGGTTTAAGTCTAATCAGCGGTGGAGGAGGTCATCAGCCTAACTGTTTGAATTCTGAATAATTTAGGATTTAGCTTCTTTTCTAATGTAAAATGATTTTCTTCTGGTTTTGGACTGTTGGTCAGAATAAATACAAGACATCTGAAGACGTCACCTTTGGCTCTCAGAATGTGTGATGGGCAGTAGTGAAAGTCCTTCTTTAAAAATATTACTTAAACCTGTATTATTTTATTATTATTATGTATATCTGTGGGCTGGACAATAAGATGTAAACAGACCTTTGACATGTTGAGTTTATGGTGTTGATATTACTGTTAAAATCCAGCTACAGCAGAGAAGCCCTGACTGACAGCCCGAGAGGATCTAATCTTTCTCAGGTACTGTGATATTTTTTAAATTGGCCTGGTTTTACTGGAGGGAGAACCCTATGAGAACCCCAGTGGGGGTTGTGGCAGACAAAGCGCTGGTTTTGGTCTGAGAGGCCGGTGGTCTAGTGTGGCATCCAGTGGCAGTGACGGTGGTGTACAGAACCTTTAAGTATCAAAAGTAAAGTTACTCATTATGCTGAATGCTCACAGTGCTGTGCTATACATTTTATTTCAGACTGTTATTACTGAGGAATTATCATGTGAGGAGCATTAGAAGTTGAAATAATTGAACTATTTTACAAACAGCTCTGTAGATTCATCTTCAATAATGCATCATATTTTATGTGTTGTGTATAAAATCTTAACCCCAGTAACAACTGCTGTCAGATGCAAGAAGTGAAATAAATTTAAATATTTCCCTTTGAAATGTGGTGGGGTAGAGGTTTAAATATATATCAATTTATATAATATATGGTAGTGTGTTATCTGCTGCTGTGATCTCACTGCCTCTCAGAGATCATTTCCATATAATCTTGTGTTGTAAGAAGTCATTACCATGAGCAGACGGATCTTCTGTAGTTTCTCTCTGTCTGTGTCGTACTGTTTCTCGATCAGCTGGTTCCTCTCCTGAGAAAAGAGACAGAGGAGGAGGAAGAGGTGGAGGAGGATGAGTGCATTTAAAACAAAGTGATGTGACTGTTGGGTCATTCTCAGGGAGGGAAGACGACTCACAATCTTAAGTGTATTTTATACTGTATTAGATGGATGCTAAGACATAAAATGTGTTAGACAGTGAATATAGACTATAATTCCAAATAGATTAAGTGCTGAATCTTCAGACCCCTTTACTTTTTCTAATGTTCTTATGTTTCAGCCTCATGACGAAATCATTTAAATTAATTTTTACCCTCAATGATTTACACTCAATTCCGAATAATGACAAAATGAAAACAGAAGACTGTCAAGCGGAGGCAGACCATACGCATGTGTTTTGGAAATGTCAAAAGATGGAGGGATATTGGGAGGGAGTCTGGAATGTGCTGAGGGAGATACTGGGATATGAGATACCAAAGACTTGTTTGGTATTATATCTGGGGAACATTCCACAAGAGGAGGTACAAGGAGGAGATAAATACCTGGTGAAAGTATTATTGGGGGATAGCAGGAAGGCAATTACAAGGGCCTGGTATAAGGTAGACCCACCTACTAGGGAACAGTGGCTGAGTATTGTGGAGGAGATTTATGATATGGAGAGGTTCACACATACCTTGAGAATGTGGGAGGAACAGTTTAGAGGGAAATGGGAGAAATGGAATTATTACAGAAGGGGCGAGGGTGATACCACTAGTAATTATAGTAATGGCCACTGAACAGGACAGAATTGTTGCATTGTGACTGAATGGAAGGACCTATAAGCTACTAATGGAAGTGTTTTTCTTTTGTTGTTTGTTTTTTTGTGTATTATTGTAATTAAATGAGAAAATCCAAATAAAAATTAAAGTTTAAAAAAGAAAACAGAAGACTGGCTGAAGAGGCTGTAATCAATGCCAAAGCTGTTTCAACTAAGTGAAACTGTCTGAATTCTTATGTCAATTTGATATGTCAGTTTATCCTTTTAAATACATTTGCAAAACATTTCTAAAATTCTGTTTTCACCATGTGATTATGTTGCGTTGAGTGTAGACTGATTAGGGGGAATTAATTTAATGATTTCAGAATAAGGCTGCAACATAACAACATGAGAAACAGTGAAGAGTCTGAAGACTTCCTGAATGAACTGTATGTACCGTCTCCTCCTCTGTATCCTGTCCTGATGCCATCTTCAGCTCCTCAATGCTCTGCTGCAGGCGGCTCATCTCCTCCTGGACACAACATCACACAGTAAAGAGAACATTAACAACAACTCACTGTCACACAGGATTTACAATCTCACTCTCTACTCATACACTGTACCCACACACTGTACCCACACACTGTACCCACACACACACACACACACACACACACACACACACACACACACACACACACACACACACACACACACACTTTGGAGAAGGATTAACAGGATCTATAATCACTGTGTGTGTTGATGTACTCACTCTGCAGTGTGTGCGGAACTCCTGCTCCTGCTGCTTCAGGTTGTCATTCATTGTCACCAGAGCTCTCAGCTTCTCCAACAAGCTGTTCAACAGAACAAAACTCTCACATCAGTCAAAGGTCACATGTTTCCAGTGCCCAGGAGCAACAATGAGGGCAGAACTCTCTGTTTTCTCAAATTTGGATGATTTGACTTCATTCAGTAAAATGGCAGCAGGCAAACGTATTATTCATTCATCTTGCCAGACTGTGAGCTATAGAGTGCTACAGGGATGATGTATTTTCGTAGACCAACTCGAAAGTTAGCATGACCCTGGTTCACAAAAAGTCAATGGGATATTTCCACTGATTTTGTTATAACAGATATTTTTGCCCATCAATGTATACTCAATAATCCATTTTCTCAATCTAAGAATTAAACCTAAAACACAGTAAAGAGTTTAAACACTGATGGGGTCTGAAGACTTTCTGAAGCCACTCTGGGTGATGTTATTCTCTTCAGTGTCATTAAGAAGAAAACATCCTTCATATTAAGTGAGAACCATCTGTGGTGTTCACACTGTACCTGTGATATGTTTAGAAATGAATAATTATATTTATGGCAGAATGAAACCAATACATCACAAACCTCTGCATGTGTGTTGATTATTGTCAGACACTAAACCAGCTTCTTCATGTGTTAATGTCAGCAGCTGGGCAGGTGTTAAAGGTTTACTACACTGTACTGGGACAGAGCCTATGGTTCCTGTCAGGTGCCACTAGAGGCCAGTAAAGGTCTCACTGCTAAACTGACAAACACAAAGAGGCAGCAGAGCTACAGATTTCTCTCAGGTTTTTGATTGTAACTGAAGAAGTTATTAGTATTAAACGCCTTTATTTATCCGGCTTATTTATGCGGTCTTTATTGCAGCTGTCACACAGACCTGGGGGCTTAAATGTGAGTTCTTCTCTACTCAATAAAATTAAATAGTATAATGACTTTAATAGATTCATACATATTTCTTCCTGATACCAGGTTGTTCTCCTCTCATACAAATGCCCGAAGCATAATTGCTGTTTTTTTAATCACTGGTTTGTTTGTTGATCTTATGACCTACAGTATATCCAACAGATGTATATGAAGTCACTTATATCTACAGCTACATCATTGTTTTTTAATTCCTGTGATTTTTTTTTTGTAGATCTAAAGTCAGGATGCAGGTTTCATGGGGTGAAGGAGAAATCAGTAGACTCACCCAGTGTCAGCCTGCTTCTCCATCTCCCCTAAAGACTTCAGCTGGTTCTCCAGTTTCTCTGAGAGCTCTGTAGCCTGAAGAGAAACACAAACCCCTGTTTTAGACTTTTTCACAGAAACTTAGTTCCCTCTTAGGAAACATTCCCAGTGATTTATTCATTATATAATCTCTTATTGTCACTGTTTTCACATAATTCCTGATCATCATTTCATCAATGTTGTTTTGTCACAGCTATGAGTCAGACTGAAGACTTCTGTCAGGAAAAAGGTTGTAAATATCTTAGCCCTGTCTTACCTCCATCAGTTTAGCTTTGGCCTCCTCACAGCCGGTCTTCACCTCTGCATGTTTGGCTTGTAGCTGCCAAAACACATATAAAAACGTATTACTGACAGTTATGACATCACCGCTGTAGATCATACGAAACTTCATTTTTTTGATTAAATAAAGACAAGGAGATTATATCATGATGGTCCACATTATATCCTGATGGGGGTGGAGCAGTAATTGTATACCACTGGATTACTTTAATTAGATCAATAACTGACCAACTCTATAGAGTTCAGACCAGTAGAAGGCTCAGTGTGGTAGGGCTGCATGAAATGCTTATTTTTATTGTTGAAATCAGTTAATCAGTTTGTCCCCTTTAATGTGTCCATATCGAGTCCTTTCAGGTAAATGAATGCTCACTGTGTGCAGTGTGTCTGCTCTGTGGGAATCAATGTGTGTGAGTGTATCTGATGACAGTTGGTTTCTGCCATCAACATGTTTCTTGTGTGTCTTTTCACAGTAACTGTGGTTGTAACACTGTGTTGACACAGTGGAGAGACAATATGGTGTGAGTGACTGCAGCAGACCTCCTCCAGCTGTTTAGTCTTCTGCTGGATCTGTTTGCTGAGCGAGGCGACGGCCCTGCGGTGCTGCTGCAGCGGGCCGTAGCGCTCTGATCGCTCCTCTGAGGTCAGCTCTGACTGCTGTAGACACATGGGATATATGTTACAACACAGATATAATAGATATAAAGATATGACAGTTATAGAAAAGAAGGTTTTTATCCAGTATAGGCTTCTAGAACAGGCTTGGTTTTGTTTTGAAACACCTCTGCAAATGTCAGAAGCAGGAACCAATATACTTTGAATTTATAACCCTCCCTTATGTTTCACCCCAATAACCTGTTGAAACATAAATGGATTCTCTACTGGTGCTCTAGCTGCTTCCCTCTGATCTTGGACAGTAGGAAACTGTTTCTACTGCTACTTTAAACAAAATTAAGTCACACGTTTTCACTTGTAATTCCATTTTTCCCTTTTTCAGTAATTGTTATGAAAGTATGGGAAAGTGGAACCAGTTGCATCAGTAATCACAGAGAAGGTGTGTTGTTGACTGGAAGAAGAACACAGTTAGTACATGTGGATCACCATTTACACTGTGGATGGGCCAGATTGTGCAAAAATAAACACACTTGAGTATGACTGTACTAGGGATGATGTATGACAATGACATCACTGATAGCTGATGTTGCTAATCTTAAGAGGATATTTGGCTTGTTTAAACATTACCATATTAACTTATTGATGCAATTTCACAAGGTGATGATAGGACAATCTGACTATGGATAAGATCGCTCAACCCTATGCTATACATACATTTGAAGACTGAATTGCGATGCTACACAGAGGCGACGTGTCAATTAGCCAGGTACCGGTGCAGAAGCCCCTCAGTCGCTTGTAGGTTTTCTGTATCACTCACCTTCTCAGCGTACTCAGAGGCGATCTGTTTGATCTCCTTAGACTGCAGCCCCACAATCTGACCCACTGCACTTGCCGTCAGCTTCCCCTGCAGGAGGACACATCAGTGATGCAAAAACCTTCAATTACCAGGGCCAAACTTTAAGGTCACAGGTTAAATTCAATAGAGGGTGTAATAACTAACAAATGATTTTTAAAAATGATTTATAAATAAACACTAGTACCATAGTATAGAGATACATGTTTATATTGTTGCATTGACCAAGACTTAGGTAACACAAGAGAGGAACTGAGGAGATGAACAGGCTCCAGACGTGGAGTGAAAGTAAAGTAAAAAAGTAAAATACTACTTTCATTTACATATAGACTATGTTTGTTTTTTAAGCCACACTGAGTGGTTAGTCAATGTTTCCTTAGAGTATTTGTATTTATAAATATTAATACATTCAAATTAATTGTGTCATAATATTTCTGCATATATATATATACATACGTATCTAGTCTCAGACCTTTGGATCCTACTGTACCTTCTTCACAAAATAAAGTGGTGCTGTCTTTTTTCAAGCTCCAGAATTAAAGTGACTAGTTTTTCCTCAAAAACTGGAGCAGCCTGGGAGGCAGCAGACGGCACAGATATGGAATTAACTGTTTGTGTCTGTAGCAGAACTGGTCTGAGAAGACCTGCATGGACTTGGCTCTGTGGGACATCGGACATGTGCCTGAACTGAAGTGTTCTACCATCGAGGACATTGCTGCCCTTTCTGAGAGGGAACAATGCTAACGCAATGTTAGCTAAGCACACACCAAACACACAGGCAGCCTGGTGACTTTTCTGTGATTGTTTTTATGCACATTACTCAATGCACACTACGATTAAGACGTTAGACTTCACTAGAGCCTACAGTATGATCATGTCCAGTTCATTCATTTTCAATCCAACTGCAATATCCAGACAAATACAGAATTATCCTACGTTTCTTCAGTTACTGTAACTTATTGATTTCTCATTAAAAAAAAGTAAAATTCAGTCATTTTCATAGTATTGATAAAAAGGAACAAAGAATCTGCACCTTAAAGAAATACATCAAAATACACCTCAGCTCTACTATGTGACCCTACATACTCACTATACTCTGCAATATTCATGTTAGCATTACTTCTGATTATTGTTTCATAAGATACTGTTTTGCTGTATTTCTTTCATGATGCACAGTTTATGATCCACTGTGTTTTGAGGGAGTGGACCTCAGGAGGAGCATCCGCTGTGGCAGAAGATCATAAATAAACCAATCTCTAAAAACTGAGTTAAAAGTTCATAGCTCTGACAACTGACTGAACAAAACAATCCTGAGACTAGAGAAAACACTGAAGACAGAGGGGCTGTGGGATATTAATATTAGTCTAAGATTAGTCTGTAAAGTTAATGTGTTGATACAACTCTAATGAGTTGGCAACAGACAGAGAACAGGTTTGTTTACCTCTTCATTCACCATAGCAGCCATGCTAGTCATCAGGGTTTTGATCCGCATCTAGAGAAAGAAACAGCTGCGTTAGTTTCTATACTGTATCATGCTCATGTTTATGTTTTGCATGATTTGAGATCAGACACAGAATTACCTGCAATAAATAATTTGATTTTTCAATAAATCTTTACTCTTTCACTGTTTATATTTTTCTTGCATTTCCGTACTTGGATGCATTTCTGTATATATTTGCCGTCCATGTATAACTCAGTACAAACAGTGCTCACCTCCTCTGCTGCCTGCAGATCCTCTTCCTCTGACACCTCTGCCATCCCAGGAGGAGCCAGCTGAGAGCCATTGGCCTGCAAAGCCTTCCCATCATCCACCTGGACAACAGAATACAGGATGTGGAAGCTAAAGAAACTGAACAGTACAGAAAGACTTAAATCTAACTTCTTCTCTGCAGATCTTTGTGCTGACAATGCCAGTGTGTTGGTCTAAATGAGGTACAGAAATTCAGCAGTGTATCTCACTGTACTGTGCTGTACAGGCCGGCTTGCATAATAACTGATGACAGGAAATTAACTTCTCTCTGCAGAGTCACTCTGAGTAACAGAAAACTGTTCTTTATTAACACCTACCTTGTCTTGTTTGGACTGTTTGCTGAATCCATATCGCCTGCAGAAAAAACAAAACAAAAAACTGCTGTGACATCATAAAGATGAGAAAGTAAAGTAGGCCTAAGCTTCATCCGTCTTCAAATACACCATGCCACATTACACCATCAGCACATCAAATGGCAGAGATCTCAGGGGAGGAATGTCTGATTAAATAAAAAAATACAAAGTGCATCAGAGCAGCACCACATCCATCATGCTGAAAGCACAGTGGAACCTCTTACAGTGATCACAACTGTCTGGGTCAAACTGATTCATATAAGCAGATGATTATGACAGTTTTTTTTCCTCTCCTTTAGTTCTCATGCAGATTAGAGTCTAATTGACATTTGTATATTTATTACATGAATATGAAGTAATGAAATAAACTGCTTTTCTATTTACTGATTTAAAGATAAATAACACAAACAGCTATGTGGTCCTCTGCTGCTCTGAGACCAGTCTGAACAGTCAGAGTGAAACATCACACTCCACTCAGGTAACATACCTGCTGCTGTGAGAGAGGGGACGATAATTACACTGTAAAATTCTGAAAACACAAACAGAGCCACCCACCCCCACCGCCCTTCCCCACACACACACACACACACACACACACACACACACAATCAGGTGTTTGGTCACAGTAACCATGATCACTATAAGAGGTTTCCACTGAATGTGAGAACTAACATTCTCTGAGCAACTGTTCAACCACAAAACAAAGTGCTGTGAGAAGAAACTTGCAGAAGAAGAAGGCTTCACATGTACAGTACTTACAGAAGGAAATCTGACACTCTAGTACAGAGGTGGAGATGGATGGATGGACGGATGAGAAAACAATGTCAGACAGATAAGAAACCATACATGATGTGTGGTTCAGGACTACGACAGCACATGACTGGGCTTCAGATAAAAGGACAAGGCAGGGACAAAGAGAATGATCATGAACACTTCGGAAAAAGAAATGTTTCTCATCAACTGTTGCTACAAATTAAAAATATAAAGCAACATGTTAACATTATTACCAGCTACGAAAGCGGATCACATACAGTGCAAAAGTATTCACCCCCTTGGCATTTTTCCTGTTTTCTTGCCTTATAACCTGGAATTAAAATTGATTTTTGGGGGGTTTGTGCCATTTGATTTACACAACATGCCCACCAAGTTGAAGACGCAGAATTTTTTTATTGTGAAACAAACAAAAAAATAAGACAAAAAAATCTGAAAACTTGAGTGTGCATGACTATTCAAACTCCCAAAGTCAATACTTTGTAGAGCCACCTTTTGCAGCAATTACAGCTGCAAGTCTCTGGCTTGGGGTGTGTCTATATAAGCTTAGCACATCTAGCCACTGGGATTTTTGCCCTTTCTTTGTGGTGGCATATTCTCTCCATTTAAAAAAAAAAAAGGATTTAATGGTGCTCCATGGGATGTTCAAAGTTTGGGATATTTTTTTTTTTATAACCCAGACCTGATCAGTCCTTCTCCACAACTTTGTCCCTGACCTGTTTAGAGAGCTCCTTGGTCTTCATGGTGCCGCTTGCTTACAGTAGTGGTGTTGCAGACTCTGGGGCCTGGAGGAACTTGCGTATATATAGTGAGATCATGTGACTGATCATGTGACAGTTGATTGCATACAGGTGGACTTTATTTAACTAATTAAGTGCTAAGGTAGTTACTAGGGTAATTGTTAGGGGTTTCATAGCAAATGGGGTGAATACATATGCAAACACCACTTTTCAGTTTGTTTGTTTTTTTTCATTTCACTTCACCAATTTGGACTATTTTCTGTAGGTCCATTACATAAAATCTAAATCTTTTTAAATTGCAGGTTTTAAGGCAAAAACACCAAGGAGGTGAATACTTTTGCAAGGCATTGTATTGTCATGCTGTGACTCACTGTGATTCTTATGTTGTATTTATTGTCTGATGCTTGTGTGGTTACTGCTGACTGTACAACAACTTTCCCCTATCCTTGATCTTTGATCACTAACCCCTGATGTTGACAGGGGTGACAGCTGGTGTAATCCCATTGCAAGATGGTCTCTAGTTATATGTGAAATTGGTTTGAATGTCCTGCCGCAATCACTTCAAGCTGTTTGTAATGCTCAGTTTTTATTTTACTGATCATTATTATTATTTCATGAGCTGTGTTAAATACAGAAACTGGACAGTGGAGTGTCTGGGTGTGGCTGTAAATTTATAATGTGTAACTTTTCCTCATTAAAATATCTAAAATCAACTAGACCTATGTTCAATATGTTGAGTTGTTTTCAGGTTAACTACTAAACGGGAGGTGACCTTTAACTCTTTTGAGGCTCTTATACTGAAATCTTCTTCATCAGATAAGATTAGCCCTCTCCAGGATGACAGACTGTGACCATTTCATCTTGTGGTGCTTTATAGACCACCCGGCCCTTATCCACAGTTTTTAGAAGAATTTGGTGAAATTATCTCAGGTCTTGTCACTGACACTGACAACATTCTAATTATTGGTAACTTTAATATTCACTTGAATAAGGCCTGGGATCCTCTAAGTAAAGCCTTTCAAGCAATTATTGACACTTGTGGTTTCACCCAGTTTGTGGCTAAACCAACTCACTGCAATGGCAACACTCTAGACTTGATCCTATCCCGTGGAATTGAGGTATCTAGTCTGACTGTCTCTCTCGTCACTTCTGCAATCTCTGATCACTTTTTATCAAGTTTGCAGAACACTAACCTGTCCTCACATTAGTAGCTCAAATGTATTTACCACACGACACATTGGTCCAGCAACTGTAGTTGCTCTTGCTGAGAAACTACCGGAGGCCCTTGCTACTTATCTGACAGAACCGGTGCGTCTCCTATACTAACACTATATCGACATACTCTCCTGGGAAATATGGAGTACCCCAGGGCTCTGTTCTTGGCCCTCTGCTTTTCTCTCTCTATATTTCACCTCTTGGTAAAATTATTTGCAGTCATGGAATTCATTTCCATTGTTATGCTGATGATACTCAGCTGTATGTGCCTATAAAGGCTGATGATTCCTCTCAGATTACAAATTTAGAGGTCTATTTGTCTGCTGTGAAAAGCTGGATGTCTCATAATTTTTTGCTCCTAAATTCAGAAAAAACTGAGATGCTGGTTGTTTGCCCGACCCGACATAGACACCAGTCAAAAATCTGGGTGTCACTTTCGATTTTTCCCTCTCTTTCTTCACACATTAAAGATATCACCAAGACTTTCTTTTCTCGCTAAGACTGATACTGAAATCTTAATTCATGCTTTTGTTTCATCTACACTTGATTATTGTAACGTTTTGCTTTCTGGCCTGCCACATGCTCATATTAAGTCTTTAAATGGTTCAGAATGCCGCAGCTAGAATTGTTACTAAATCCAGAAATATGACCACATTAGACCAATTTTAGCCTCCCTTCATTGGCTTCCTGCCCATATCAGATCAGACTTTAAGGTGCTTTGGATTGCATATAAGGTTCTAAATGGACTTGCTCCTTCATACCTGTCTGATCTGCTTAAACCTTGTACTCCATTTCAGGCTCTCTGTTACCAGAATTTAGGGCTCCTGTCAGTTCCCAGAGTTAAAAAGACGTCTGCTGGCTGCAGAACCTTTTCCTATCGGGCCCTGACTCCGTTCAGACTTTCAAATCGAAACTTAAAACGTATTTTTATGTCTTACCTTTCAGCTCGCTTCTTATTCTTTTACAAACTCAGGCTCTGTACCTGTTGCCATTCTACCACTGGCAGGTGGGCCTCAGTCTCAATAAATCAGTAAACTCAGTACAGTATAGTCCAGGTTGTCCTGCTGACGAGATCACTGTTAACTTTCTGAAAATCACTGCATCATTCTAACCGGTTGTTTTTTCCCTCAAGCACATGAAGCGCCCAGGCTGTGTGCCTCTCTCTCTTCCTTCTCCTTCTCTATCTCCTTCCTGTTACTCTCCTGAGCAGCTGTCCAAAATCAAACCCTTACAGTTAAGAAGCTGGAACCAAGATGATTTGAAAAATAAACTCATTCAAAAATCATTAGTAGTATGTTTATCACTGTCCCTGGTACTCTAGATAATCCTCAGTGAAGACTCCTAAGTCATCTTCAATGGAACTACTTCATAAAGAAGAAACACTTTTAATACATGTTGTTTGTGTATTATCCAGAGGACTGGAGATAGTGACTCTGCAGAGACATGCTACTGTTTTTTGAAAATGTTTTGTTGTTGTTGTCTGCATTAGCTTACAGTACATCTTTGCCAATAGCTTTGTAACAACAATAATTATTGCAGTGCATGTAAAACAGGTTTGAACATGTCTGAACTGATGGACTGCTGTAGCTGTTCAAGTTGGCATCACGCTAAAGCTTAATGTAATGAGGATGAGACTGAGAATTTGTGGTGTATGGTCAAAGACTACTCACAAAGTTTAAACTCTTGATAAAGATGGAGGAGATGCAAATAAATGTCAGTAATAAGTCAAATAAAGTGCAAGGAGTGCTTCTTGGGTGTGGAAAAAAGTGTCCCTCTGGGGACCTAAATGGGGGGGGGTCTAAATCATTCTGGATTCTTGGCAAAATCTGAGGCACTCAAGAGGGTGGTGATTTACTAAGCCTTTATTTTCTCATGGCTTCATTACAACAATAAAAACATGTCGACGCGTTTCAGCCATTAGGCCTTCATCAGGTCAAGGATAAAATGGCAACCTTTGGGCTCTTCCATTTATAAGGAAGCATTAGTCACATGATCAGAATGGACAGAGAAGTTGTGACATGATAGGTCCAGGCGGTCATATGGCAGACTATCTTCAATCTGCAGGTTGTGGTCACATGGTCAGCATGAACAGGAATAGTCCACCTAATTTCTCATATTATTTGCCAGAAACACAAGTCTATCAACATGATCCAGATGAAATTCGGCCCTCTTTTTATTAACAATATTACCTGCCGATGGTCTGATGCGCTTATAGAGACTGTAGCCTACACTTCCAACAGGTCATTACAGCTCGAAACCACACACAAACCCACACACGAAATCTTACCTGCCATATTCCAGCAGGGTGGCGTGAACCCTGGACTCCTCGTCCAGCAGCTGTCCTGCATCCCTCTGTCTCCGGTATTTCCTCTGTGGTTTGTACACTTTCTGGAAAACACCACAGTGTCTCCAAACATAAATAATTCAAGCCATAATTTAATCATTTAATATAATATAATTAAAGAAACACATCAGAAACTACTTGTCATTATTGCTGTTGAACATATAAACTGTGATCTTAATATTTATGTATGTTTGTGCTTTCTTACTTTGTTATTTGGGGAGTTACATAATTCATTTAATGTATGTACAGTTGTGTCAGGAAATATTCAGGCCCCTTCACATCTTGCACAAATATTAATATGATGTCGATTTAACTTCAACTGGATAAAACTGAACAGGAATGTCTCTGCATTCCTCAGGAGGAGCTGGAGGTCTGTACCACCCTTCTCCGCCTGCTGCCACTGAGGCCTTAGGTGTTCCCAGACCAGGCCCAAGTGTATCCCAGGGTCTCCTACCAGTTGGACGTGCACAGAATACCTCTAATGGAAGGCAACCAGAACGCATCCTGATCAGATATCAGCAAAGGGGTCTGAATACTTCACGCCACAGTAATGCCTGATTAACTCACCAGTACGTCCAGAACTGCCTTCACAGCCTGGTCTTTCCTCTGGAGAAACTCTTCGTCCTAGAACAAAAGGTTTCATCTTATGTAGAGGACAGGTCATGCAGTATAGACTAATGACACTTTGGTTTATATGTTAAACTACAGCTGAAGATTACTACCACACACCTGCAACATACTGCTACATGAATGTGTTGATATAGTACATTTCTGATTTCTGACTCTTTTAGTTCAGATGCTTTTCTGCTGATGTGGAGGCATTTCCACAAAAACTTAAAGGCACTGATGAAAAAATACACATGGTAAGTTCAAATATGAAGCAGTCACTATTTTCTCTTTCTTACTGTCTCATAATGTTGTCATTTTGAATTGTTTTAGTAGTATCGCATCATGTTTCTCAGACACTCAAACATCTGAATTAGTCATAATTTTGACATAGAATTCCATTTCTAACCTAATATCTAATAATGTGGAATGAATATTTTATCGTTTCGATTTTTGTTTTGACGTTAGACTTCCTTATCATAACTCACTATGACTCTCATATTTTACCTTGTCTGTTTTTATTGTTTGTCATTCATAGAAATTCATTGTTTTTCTTTTCCTGGCCCAAACATATGACATACTGTATATGATAATATGGATTTCGAAGCATGTGTTGGTATTAGAGGAGAACATATCCATCTTTGTGTTTTTGGTCATTTCCTGAGGGTAATTTATGCGTTATTCCTAACAACTCACATTTTCAGGCGACTTAGAACCAATATTTGGTACTACCTACATTTTCAGATCAACCAATCTATAAAAACTATCATTGTTCCAGGATTCAAATAACTCTGTAATCATACCAGAGAACAGTAAAGAGCTGCATTGATTAGGTCAAACAGCGATTTATCTCATTGTCTCAGAGTCATCCATCATCTGGATGTAACTCCAGCAGCCACCACAGCCACCCTCTGGCTCTGTGACTGACAGGTGCTCTTACCTCTGGGAGGCTGTGGGTCTTCTGGAACTGTGAAATGGAGTACGCCCTCACATAGTCGCCCATCTCTTCCCTTGTTTCTATGGCTCGCTTCACCAGCCACTGGCAGGAGAAACCACACAGCTGATCAGACACAAGGGTAAATAACACCACACAGGACAGAAGCACCCCAGCTAACCCTGTTATTCATGTGCAAAACAGCACATGAAAGCAGCTTGTTTATGAGCCAACACTGAGGTCTCTCTGTAAGCAAACGTGGAAATCACAGATCACAACCAAAAACTTATCAGCTGATACTATTTTCATCCAAATTTGACAAACAGAAAAAGAGCTTTTCTCTAACTGAAGGGAAAACACATTGAAGTCAAACCACCACCAAACACACACCAGCACATTACTTTGACTTCATCATTATAACTGTTTTAAATGCACCATGTAAAAGATTCTACATATTAATATGGACAGAGTCTCAGTTTGTGATGAATGCCCTTACTTGTATCACGGGAAAAATGTGGATGAAATCCAGCCCTTGAATTTGATGAGGTTCCAGACGATGAGGACACTTCATCTTCGGTAGAACAGAAACTATTTTCTCTGTCAGGGCTCTGCACGGAGACAGAAAACACTTATCACTGTTAGAATATTATCTGCAATAAATCAAGTTATTAAACTGTTTGCAAAACCAACTGAAACTAAATTAAATTACTATGGAGTCACAATAGATGGAGCTTTCAGGTGATTTATGTTCAATTTGCAAACATTTTGCTTTTTGTTATTTCATAACTGGCGTACCTGTGTGTGGAAAGTAATTCTAATATGTTATAAAGAGTAAAAATAAGAAAGGTAAGAACATCCCCTGCTTGTCACATTACTTTAATAACTCATTAACAATAGATTTTACAGAGTAAACTGGGGATGTGGACAAAATTGTCTATTTGTGAGTTTTTTTCTGCTGCTGAATGTGATTTTTTGTCAGGAGCAGGTGGGTCACTTGACAAGAGCTTCAGCCATCATTGTGTTTTCAAGACAAGAGGTTATAATACGTCCTCTAAGCAGCTACGTCTTCAGGACAGACTGGAGGCTACAGCCTATCTGAAAGTGAGGAGACGAGCCAGGGCTAGCTGGTTAGTATGCTAACTTCAGTAGAAGAAAAGACGTGATAGAGACAAGAGTTAACATTGGTTTGTTTCCACTCCTGGAAACAGATATTGGTGAGTAAATGAATTTTGATGTAAATTAAATGCTGAACTCCTGTTTCTTCTAGATGGGTAAGTAAACAGCTACTAATGCTAATGATGTAGCAATAGCAAAACTTAGAGATAGCTCCTTGAAACAAATTGATAAATACAGAATATCCTAGTAAATGATCCCTTTCACCTCTGACATCTAAATCATGAATCTGAATCATAGCAGTATGATGTTAGTAGGAAAAGAAATGGAAGCAGATACTAATCATCAGCTGGAGTCATCCAACTGAGGTGGTGTTACTCCATCACAGTACTTCATGTGGGACAAAACAAAACCACTCACATCTTCTGACCAATGGTCGAGTTCTCTTGGAAGAGAAGATCCACATCAATGTCAAAGTTACATGTGGTGATACACCAGGTCATACCCCCCACCACCTGAGGAAGAGAGGAAGAGGAGATACTGAGAGAGGATGGAGAAGATGAGCTGAGTGAGGGTGGAGGACATGAGCTGAGTGAGGAGGAAACGAGTTGAATGAGGGTGGAGGAGACGAGCTGAATGAGGGTGGAGGAAACGAGCTGGGTGAGGGTGGAGGAGACGAGCTGAGTGAGGAGGAAACAAGCTGAATGAGGGTGGAGGAAACGAGCTGGGTAAGGGTGGAGGAGACGAGCTGGTTGAGGGTATAGAGGAGACGAGCTGGGTGAAGGTGGAGGAAACGAGCTAAGTGAGGGTGGAGGAAACGAGCTGAAAGAGGGTGGAGGAAACGAGGTGAGTGAGGGTGGAGGAGACGAGCTGGGTGAGGGTGGAGGAGACGAGCTGAGTGAGGGTGGAGGAGATGAGCTGGGTGAGGGTGGAGGAGACGAGCTGAGTGAGGGTCGAAACGAGCTCAGTGAGGAGGAAACGAGCTGAGTGAGGGTGAAGGAGACGAGCTGAGTGAGGGTGAAGGAGACGAGCTGAGTGAGGGTATGGAGGAAACGAGCTGAGTGAGGGTGGAGGAGACGAGCTGGGTGAGGGTATAGAGGAGACGAGCTGGGTGAGGGTGGATGTGTTCTGTCACTTGGACTGTTTTACGTGGACTGAAGTTCCAGTCTACCAGGTGGTATCAGAGTCAACTGAGCAGTAGGAACGGATCAGGGGGTTTTCCTGGAGCCTGGTGGGACCAGCACAAAGCTCAGATCCAGACTACCTTATCAAACGGAGACAGTCCTTTGATCCTGGCTCTGAAGTAGCCAGCTGCCAGCAGCAGCTCCAGGATCTCTGCCAGCTTGACGCTCTGCTCTTCATCCTCTCTCGTTTCCACCTGAGAGCCAAACACACAATATCATCATCTGTAGAAAACAAAATCTCCCCCCGGCTGCTGAAGTGCTCTGGAGCAAAGCCATGACTGCCCTTCAGCTGCATGAACATGTTTTTAAATCAGTTAGCTTTAATCTCTATCTAGGTCAGGAGGCGAGAATATTTCTGTCTCCTGTCAGACGGTCACTGACACTCCAGATGGTTCTCTTGAACCCGCTGCTGAGACGTTCAAAACATTTAATTTCGGCCGTTAGCGGCTAGCGTCCACCGTTAGCTAACATCGTCCATGTTGTCTGTTGACAAACATTTACTGTTTAACAGCGAAATCCTCCTGCTCTGTTAAAACGGATCTAAACGACCTGTACCTGGATCAGGTTTCCTTCCTGGTCGTACTGGGCGCCGATTTTCGACCCAGTTCTCACCCTGTGGAAAACAGACGTAGCCGTCGCCATGTTGATATCAACAGTTGTTGATGACAGGTCACATGACTGCGTCATATGACCCTGCAGGTCCTCAGTGCTGCATAGTTTAGAGGAATTTACAGAGTATATTAACTTGTAAATGAACTTGTAAATACTAAAATGAGAATAATAATAAATCTGTCAAAGTGTGTGGTGAACTGTTTACAGAGGAATGATTTGATAACTTATGACATGGGTTTCTCTATAGTTTTACAGTAGTTAATTACCTCATTATGTTTTTGTTGCTTTTTAAATTGTATTGTAATTATTTTTCTTTTTAATATTTTCTCATTGCTTTTATTTTTATTGTAATTCTTACTTTTGACTCCACAACAATGTTGAGCACATGTCATGTGCTCATGTGTCATGTGTAACCTATTGATTGTATATTTGAATGGTTTTCAGTAAAGATTGAGTCAGTGCTGCAGAGTGCTGCAGGTTTCAGAACTCACAGCTGCAGCTCTCTGTTCACTCCTGAAGAATAAATCTTTATCTTAGCTGCTGTTTAAAAAAATTGTAACAAGGACACCAGAAATCAACCATTTCCCTGAAATAAAAAATAAATAAAGCCAAGTAAAAATATAAATAACTATTACAAAATAAAGCTTCTTGACTACATTAATGCAATATATAATTTGGGGTTTAAATTGCAATGCATTATTGTGTAATTAGAAATACTTTATATAGGCTACTGCTGGGTACCATCATTCTTTATCTGATTTTATGTTTCATTAATAACGTGAATCAGAACTGAAACAAGTGACTAAAGCTGTGAAATAAATACAGTAGATGGAACATAGAATATTTCCCACTGGAATGTGGTGGAACATAAAGTAATGTACAAGTACCCCAAAACTGTAGATAGTACAGTACTTGTGTAAATGTTACATTCCAGTGGTGGGTATAGGCAAGAAGCTTTATTTTGTAATTGTTATTTGTATTTTTAGCTTTACCCATAAACTTAACTTAAGTTTTGTACTTTTACTTAAGTAAAGTTTTTGAATACAGGACCTTTAGTTGTGGATTAATTGTTTTCTTGCTACCCTCCACCTCTGAAGACATATTTCTTTCTTTCTCTTCTTTTTTATAATGCTGGACACTCTTCTGTGCCTTCTTGGATTCTTTGTCTACAAATCTACACCAAACCAAAGAGGATATTGTTATAGTAAACTTTTTTTTAATTTCTGGAAGAATGTGCATTGTACTAGAAAAGCGCCAAAAACAAACCTGATTTAGGAAAAAATATGTTTTTTATGAAAAGCAGCACATAGAAATGAATTAGCTGATGAATGTGGAATAGAAGAAGTGAACTATTAGTCAGAATTAAGATGCTGACAGACGATAAGTGTCATCTGTTTTTACCTCAGTATGTTGGCAGCGGTATACATTAAACAAACGTATACGTTTCTTTACTTTTTCTTTTCTTTTCTTTTCTTTTATTAGTAGAATTAGCAAAAGTCCTGTTAGAGTCTGGTTAGTTCCAGTTGGCGGCGGTAGTGCACTGTCTGTCATCTGACCGAAAAAGAAGAAGAAGTTTTACGACATTGCCGCTCACATTGCGGCGACTATTTTGCGACAGCGGCTCTGTTGACGGCACACGTGTGTCCTATTCAGTCGGCTCGATAGTGTTTACTTCAGCATGGTGAAAGTGTCGAAGAAAAGCAGAAAGACCATGAGCAGAAAAGAGAGTGTTAAAAAACGCTCCCTGGTGACCGGGGAGGACGCAGCGGTGAAGTCGGACGTAGTCTACGACGACGCGGGAGAGGAGGAGGATTTAAACGAGGCAGATGAAAACATCACAAGTGAGGAGGAGGAGGACGGCAGGGATGAACGAAAACGCCAAAAGCTGCTGGAGGCCATCAGCTCTCTCGGGGGTAAGAGGAAAAAGAAGTTGGGGGAGAGGTCCGAGGCGGCCGTCCAGATGTCCGAGTTCACGGTCAACGCGGAGGGCGAGGGCGACAAAGTCGACCTGTCAGACCTCATCCGGACCATGGACAAAAACCCCACTGTTCCTGCCAAGACCAAGAAGCAGCTGAAGACCCTGCAGCAGAGCAGTAAGACCGTTGAATGTCCTCTCAGCAAACAGGAGACCGAGAGGATCCAGAGGGATGTTGCCTTTCAGAAGGCAGCCTCAGAGGTGTCCTGGTGGAAAGGTGTCATCAAACAGAATCAGAGGGCCGAGCAGCTGGTCTTCCCCCTGAACCAGGAGCCCTCTGGTCCCAAACCCATGGAGAGGGTGGTCAACGGCTGGAAGGCGCAAACCCCGCTCGAGCAGGAGATTTTTGCCCTTCTGTCCGTCAACAAGCAACCCATCAACGACCCCATACTGACCCCTGCTGAGGAAGCTTCGCTGAGGGCAATGAGTCTGGAGGACGCCAAGATCCGCCGTGCAGAGCTGCAGAAAGCCCGGGCCCTGCAGTCCTACTACGAGGCCAAGGCCCGGAGAGAGAGGAAGATCAAGAGCAAGAAATACCACAAAGTGCAGAATAAGGCCAAGCGTAAAGAGTTCCTGAAGCAGTTTGATGAGATGGTGAAAACCGACCCGGCTGCTGCCTTAGAGGAGCTGAACAAGATGGAGCTGGCCAGGATGCAGGAGAGGATGTCGCTGAAGCACCAGAACAGCGGCAAGTGGGCCAAGTCCAAGGCCATCATGGCCAAATATGATGAGGGGGCTCGCAAAGCCATGCAGCAGCAGCTGGAGGTGAACAAAGACCTGACCCAGAAGCTTGTGACATCACAGAATAATGAGGAAGAGGAGGAGGATAAGGCAGCTGGTGCAGAGCTGATGCCTGATTTTGTGAATGATGCAGTGCAAGGGCTGGATTCTTCAAACCCCTGGATGAGATGCAAGCTCTCTGTAGATCCCACAGAGATGAGTGGCACTGTGGATCTGACAGCAGAGGGGGCTAGAGTGGAGGGAAATACAGCTGAGGAAGAAGAAGAAGAGGAGGAGGAGGCGGTGAAGGAAACAGAGGAGGAAGCACTACTCAGAGAGTTCAACAGCAAGAGGAAACATCGTCAGGTTCAGGAGGCTGACATAGAACCTGTGATATGTTTGGACGATGATGATGATGAGGAGGAGGAGAGTAAAGCTACAGCAGAGGACAAAGAGGAGCAGGAGCTGTCAGAGTTCACGAGCCTCCTCCGAGGACTTGCAGACGCCCGGCGGGATGCTGAGGCGGAGCACGCAGAGGCAACAGCAGACACTTCAGCTCAGCTGGAAGAAGGGCTGACGAGGATCAGGACTCTGGAGGATGTGGAGCTCCTCAGTCAGGAGGATTCAGCCGCTGATAAAGAACCTGTTCAGCCCTCACTGCCCCCTGCCACAAAAAACCTGCCGCCTGCAGCTCCAGTCAGGGAGAAAAACAGGAAGAGGAAGAGAGGGATTGAGCTGAAACAAGTTCTCACCAAAGAGACAAAAGTCATCCATGTCCCACTCACTCCAGCGGTCGAAGATGCAGAGGACTCAGATGAAAAGCTGGACCAGAGGGGGCTCATCAAAGAGGCGTTTGCCGGAGATGACGTCATCTCAGACTTCTTGAAGGACAAGAGGAAGCAGGAAGACATGGGGAAACCGAAGGTGGTGGACCTGACACTGCCTGGGTGGGGGGAGTGGGGAGGGACAGGCCTCAAGCCATCCCGCAACAAACGCAGGAGGTTCAGGATTAAGACTGCCCCACCTCTGCCCAGGAAAGATAACCACCTGCCCAGTGTCATCATCTCAGAGAAAAGAAACAGCTCCATCAGCCTCCACCAGGTGAACACGCTGCCCTTCCCCTTCGAGAACCACGCCCAGTTTGAGAGCACCATCCGCTCTCCCATGGGCCGCACCTGGAACACAGAGCGGACCGTCAGAAAGATCACCAAGCCCAAGGTGGTCACCCAGCTGGGTGCCATCATCGAGCCCATGGCCCGGGAGCAGCTGATGAAGAACAAGAAGCTGGTGCCTCCTGGGAGTAAACAGAGTGTGGACTTAAAGAAGAAAACCAAACCAAAATGATCAGGACAAGCAGCTGCTGTGTGGACATTAAACTGTGTGTGTGAGGGATGATGATCAGTTCATGTGTTTCAGTGTTTATGGAGCTCAGATAATCTGTTTCACAAATTCTATAACTCATCTTTTTTCTATAATTCTTTCATATTGTGTATTTGATATTAAAATGTGTTAAATCAAATATATAAAAGTAGTTAAGATTTCAAATAAATTCCATCTGCGGAGTTAAAGATATGGTTGTAAACTCATGAGTTGGGTTATGTGTGTGTTATTTGGATCCATTCAGCCCTTTGCAGCTGCGTCAGCTGTGAGATGCACTGTAACAGCTATATTTGTAATGAACAGGACACCATACCATGTTGATCCTGCCTGCTGCTGTCATACAGGTCGTGTTTTAAGATACTGCGGAACATTTCCAGTCTTTGTGTCCTGCACAGCTGAATCTGCAGAGCCAGAAAAATCTGAAATGAAGAGAGGAAGTTCTCCTGCAGTCCTCATGTTCAGAACAGCTGACCCTGTAAAATGACTTCAGGGTGTCAAAGCATCTAAGTATTAACAGCAAAATGTCCCCAAAGTATCAGAAGTAAAACTACTCATTATGCAGACTGGCTGACTATATTATTATAGGCCTGTTTTTTATTATATTATTATTATTATGATTGATGAATTTAATAAAACAGTATTTTAAATGTGGCTGCTGGTAGAGAGTCTGATGTTGGTAGAGTGTCTGAACAGTGTTGATGAACACTGTTCTTGCAGACATGATCCCACAGTGTGACACAGCTGAGAGTGAAGTGCTGCCACAAGCTGGTAACTGACACACGTGAGTTTCAAGGCTCCACAGTCCAAAGGAAAACTTTTGAAACCTTCATTAACTGGATCATCATAATAATAACTCACAATACCACTGCAGTGCTTATTCAAAAATTACCAAAAAATAGAGGGTTTCATCTGATTTGAATTTATTGATCTGATTAGATTGACTGATTTAAAGCATAGCTTAGGCAAAGTTGTTGCTCAGCTGCTGCTTTTTAGACATTGAACATTTGGGAATGTATAATTAAAAAAAGAACCATGTTTATGTTTACATTCATCAAACTAATCTATGACATAATATTGCAGTACTATTGTTCTGGTGCTGATATAAAAACATTTCAAATTGTTAACAGTAACATACAGAGCTGAAACTGCTGGTCCATCAGTCACTTAATAAAATTAAAAAGCAAATTATTTGATAATTGATTTATTGAATGAGGTCATTTTTCAAACAGTGCCCCCTGGTTTCAGTTCTGTTTTTGTCATTATGTGACATTGAAATATAAACCGTGATCACTATTTTTATAGACAAACAAGTAATCAATTAGTTCAGAGAATAACCATTAGATCAATTGATTAGTTGAAACCCTAATCTGTGCATTGTGAGGAAACATCAGCATCACTTTGCTTTTTACACCCAGGGTTATGTGTATTAACAGATGATGTGGTCTGTGGTCCGCTGGTCTGTTGGTCTGCTTGTCTGCTGGTCTGCTGTGGTCTGCTGGTCTGCAGTGGTCTGCTGTGGTCTGCTGGTCTGCAGTGGTCTGCTGTGGTCTGCGGTGGTCTGCTGTGGTCTGTGGTGGTCTGCTGTGGTCTGCTGTGGTCTGCTGGTCTGTGGTGGTCTGGTCACACTTCAGTCAGCAGCGGTCAGTATGTGTCTGCCTGATGGAGGGAGGGAGGGTTAGACGGCAGCTAACAGCAGCATTTTCCTAGTTTGTGCTTGACTTGCTTCCACTCTCTTTCGTGTTGATTTTCAATACATTTGTAAGGCCATGCAGCAGAGTCTAAAAGAAAAGCCATTACAGTTGGGTTAAACCTTCACACATGGGTGAAAGTGCATGCTTTGGCACCTGACATCTCTGTATTTCACATGATAGACACTCTATTACAGAGGGGGATGCTGTAATGGACTATGCATCAGTTCAGGTAATGGTTGTCAGCTTTAGTGCCCGAGAGGCAGTGGAGAATTCCATTAGAAACCTTATAGTTACTAAATCAGTCATTCTCCACCTTCCTCTCTATTGAAACTCCTCTTTGGGGCAATTACTACAGCTTCATACAGCTCTCAGCAGTCAACAGAGACCTAGTCCTTGAACTTCCTCCTGCCTGCTAGACTGCATCAAGTTCAGACAGTGATTCTCACACAAATATATGGAGGCTGCTGTGGCTGTTAATCAGAGAGCCAGGGTATGAGTGCTCTACAGCTCCTATGATGGAACATGTTTTTCTCCACAAGGCCCATTTAGAGAGCCACTTAAACATTTGTTCTAGGATGAAGGAGCATTTATGCCTATAGCTTATTGGTTGGCTGATGTACTGGAGATACACTGGTGTGTTTTCTGCTCCTGATCAGGTCTTGCTGTGTTATGGCTGTGAGATGTGACATGAGGACTTATCTTGAATAACTCTGTATTCATCATCATGCTGAGCAGAAGTTAAATACCCCCATCCACACAGCAGTGGACGTTCAAATCTGCAGCTTTATTTCCCTCTGATGCTTCACTACAGTCCAACTGCCTTGCAGGTCTGTGCATGAAACAATCCAGCAGAGGACTCTTTCCCATTTCCTGCTGTAATCTGAGGCCCAGCACCATTCCAACCCTGACAGGTGTAAGATTAACTTAGTTAGGTGTAAAGCTGCTCATGCGCACCAAATTAAATTAATGGAACAAATTTCCCTCCTAATTAAGATGAAAATACGTGTCAGTTGTAACCTTGCTGAGCACTAATTATGTACAAATGATTTATCATCTGTTTCGTCCTGAATAGCAATGTGCTCACCTCTCCGATAGCCCTGGCTGGCTGTTAAGAGATGGGCCCTGATTAACAGTGACAGGTTGTGCTGCGGAGAAGCTGTACATTGCCGAATATCCAATCAGAGGCGGCCTGAGCTCAGACTCTCCTCCCTTCCATTAACCTACATGGAGTGTGCAGCTGAGCATCACTGTGCCTCAGCTCTCCTTCTTGTTTCTCTCCTCAGAATGAAAATAAGGAACATTCAAAGAGGAGACACCGGGGGGAGGGAGGGGTGGGGGATTGTAAAACCTGAACCCAGGATGAATCCCCCCGGATGTTCTATGTGTATTGAGGCTGGATTAGCTTGTGCCTGTATGATCCAGCGTCTTTAACAGACTCTGCACCTCACAAAACAAATTGAATAATGCAGAATACAGTTGAGCTCATACATCAACATTTTACGCGTGGCGGCTGGTAATTACTTCAAAGTGTCCTACAACAAAAACAAGCCTGAATAAGCCTGGTACCAGCTGAGGCCAGCAGGTGGTGCAAGAGGTTAAGACTGCCAGAAGCCTCTGTGTGAATTCCTGTGGACTAAAATATCAAAATAAACAGAGCTTCATCATACAATTACAGCCTGACTGGGATATTCCATCTTATTTCCTCCTGCCTTGCAAGTACAGATATATTTCAATGGGCAGCAGCTTTGATTAGCATTAGAATCAGAGTCCCTTGTGTTGCTAAGGACACACTGGCCAATCTGTAATCATTGTTCCACAGGCTTGCTCACAGGGGATATAGCCCACTTTGTCATTATCATTCAATATGCCACACACATGCTGGCATGGCTTCCATGGTGCTGCGAGCAACAGGGCATTTGCATTTTCTCCTCATAGTATGAAGAATCTGCAAAGACAATGATGCACCACAAATAAGTCCTCTCTCCCTGCACTGCCTGGAGGTGGGAGATGCCTCTCCTCCCTCGGAGCTGCTGGAGACGCAGAGACACTCCCCCATTGCATGTCTCATTTTCTCTGTGCTTGTTTACTCTGCAATTGTCTACCTGTGCATCTTCAAAATGTCATTATGTACAAGTGTCAGCTCCAGCCATTAGGGATCATTTGACTTTCTATTGTGTTTGGTCGTTATTTAGTTGACAACCAGCGCTGCCATGATTTGCTCTGTGAATGTTTCATTGTTGTGGTAAATGTCGGTTTGCCTGCTCTGGGAGGGTACCTGTGTTTTCCAGCTCATTTCTCTTTTTTGTTTTCAGACGAGCTTGACTGTCCAAACCCAGCTATTCCCCTGCTGCTGGAGAAAAGGCAGAGCTGCTGTTCATGCAGATTCAGAGCATGTCAACATGCACACAGACAGAGAGGGGATGTCAGATGATCTTTGTGAGAGGGATCTCCACATTTCTGCCTTGTGCCCTATGGCTGGAGGTTGTTGTAATGTGCACAATTGAAATCAAAATCTCAGTTCAGACAAAATTGTAATTTATTTTAACACACACTATAAAAAGTCCTTGAATGGCTCAATCTATATAACTTTATTTTAAAAAGAATATTTTTCCCAATAAATTAATTTCCTATTCTTTTTGTGGTAGTTACACATGAATAAAAAGTGAGAATATTTGAGTAACATATTATTTTGCATGAAAAATGGATTTCACTGAACTTAACAATAAATAGATTTTTACAAAACTCAAAAAAGGGGCTTATGTCAAAAGTAAATGTCATGACCCGCCAACATTCAAGAAACGGAACATATCCTGGATTTCCTCAGCCAAAAAAAAAGTATTTCAGATTTTTAGGCCTCTTTATGACCCTAACTCTACTGGATATGTCATGAATAAATTCACACTTTTATGTATAAAGTTGAATTTCAAAAAAAAAATTTCATCACGATGCAGAGTGCTGAGGTCATCCCAAACATGTGACACATTCATTGGAACACAGGAGCAGCCGCCATTTTCTTTTGTTGCTCCCACAACCTTTTGCCATTTTCTGTCTTTGCCTGCAGTGAGAGAGTTGGGGGCTGAGGTTGGAGGTGCTTAACAAACAGCTTCTCCCACATCATGGCGGTTTGGGGATTGGTGGATGAGACAGGGAGGGAGGGGGTTAGAGGTTAATTATAGACAACAGAGAGGTCACAGGGCCTATTATTTTGGAGCCGGGATCTGTAACGGTCCAATGGGGATGACATTTACAATGAGGGTCCAGCCCCACCCCTTCATCACCATCCACACCCACAGCCCAACCTGTGCACGCCATCACTCACATTAATACTGAAGGAGCCGACAGCGGGACTCAGTGGTCTGATAATGAAAAGGCCCTTAGCGTTTGGCACAGGCAGGATGATGAACTGTATCCCTGGCTGTTCTCTGCCTGCATCAGGGGGCCCCCAAGTAGCCCTTGACAGCTAATTGAAAGCCCCCATACTCTCTTCTTACCTACCAGACTTCCTTTATTACTCTAATTATTGGGGTTAAGTGAATATCCCATGGGGCTGTAAGTAGTCCGGTGTGCAAAACCTGCTGACTCATCTTTTTAGATAAGAAATAAATGGCAGTAGCAGAAGTGAATCACTGCAGCTGTCCTGAATCTGAGGACAGTTTGTCGGAGCCTCATTCAGATTCTTCTTTCTGGTCCTGAAGGTTCACCATTTCTGGACCAAATGAAAACAGATTTTTAAGTTAACAGGCAGGCCGTGCGAATGATTATTAAAGCATATTGGTACGCTGCATATTTATTATATTGAATACTTTCCATGAAAAAACCCCAAAATCAACAATGAGTGGATCCTACTGTGTTGTCAAAGTCATTATATCTTATTCCTCTTGTTGTAAGCCATAAAGCACTACTTTTCTAAACACTATTAGAAGACATGAGTGAGCCACACCGTTGCACTGGGTGAACCATGAACACACACACACACACACACACACACACACACACACACACACACACACACCACACACACACTACTTTATTGTGACTTAGTCCCACAAAGGCCTACACCATCCTGCTGCAGAAATACTTCATACAGCAATACAGCCATAGCAGCAATACAGCAACAAATGACTCCACCACTGAAAATATTCCCCAACAAATGCTTTTTCTTTCAGTTTGAATTGCTGATAGCTAGTGGCCAGCTGTCAACTCACTGAGCCTTTTATCTTTTCTTTTTTTTTTTTTGATAAATGAAGCTTTACTCCTGTGACCTGACCTTATAAATACACCCACCCAAATTTCTGAGCATTGAAAAATAAACAATTCAATTTTTCATTTAATTGTTTGATTATATTTTAATAATAATGATTTAATAACTTCCCAGTAGATGTCAGACATCTAACACTGTAATCTAAGTTTCTGTCCTTTAAACGACCACATTTACTCTAAAACATTGTAAAATGTGTGTGTGTGTTTGTAGAGTGTTAACTCTACAACTATCTAGAAATATTACAGAGGATGTAACCTTGGTGTCTTCTGCAATGAAGATCTAAACATTATGATATTATTATATTCCTGGGAAATGGACAAAAATTTAAAAAATGTCTTAAAGAACATGATAAAATATTCCTGAATCGGTCCCTTTAACCAGATCAGCACCAAAATGCATTCTTCCCTGGACCAGGACCCATCCCTTCACCAAGTTTGGTGTGAATCAGTTCAGTACTTCTACTGTCCTGTGTCTGTCCCTGTGTTTTTTTTTTTACCTTGAATAAATACATAAATCACCAATTTTTATTCTACTTTGTCGTGATCTTTAAGAACTAGTGCTTTCAAAACTTTTTTTTCTCTCTTTCCCTCTGTCTGTTTTTCTCTCAGTTTGTTTGGCATCATTACGGACAATAACAGCAGCTCTGAGCTTTTTCTACTGGGATCCTTAAAATCTGTATGAACCATAGTTAGCTGTGTTAAGTTAACTCTGAGCTGTGGAAGAATGAGAGAGCAGGGAGAGTCTGTTGATGTTCAGACCATTGTGTAGCCAGATATAATCCCTGAAACCCCATCATGAGCGGCAGGCCTCAGTATGTTGAATACAAACTAGTGTAAATGGGACTGAGGATTAAGAGTGATCCACTCCGCACTGTGACTTTCTCACCTCTGCATCTCTGTAAGCCTATTAGACCACAAGAGCACATCAAATATACTGCACACACAAATATGTCTGTGCGTGTGTGTTTGTGCATGTGTGTTTGTGTGATGAATGACTACAGCATACAGATGTTTATTTTCTCTGTTTGAAAGCTGAAATGCTGCACTACCTGACAAGCAGTTTAATCTATTTTACAATTTTTAATAAAAATTCTCAAATATAATATATATAATATATATTATATGGTAATTTTAACTCCTAAAAAACACATTAAGTGCTCTCCAAAAAATATGTTAAACCTAATATTCCACAATTAGTTGAATTAATAACGCTGCTATGTAACATGTAAAAATGAATATTTAAACATATCAACCTTATGAATAACGCAGTTGTTAATAAAAACAACAACAAAAAAAAAAAATAATAATAATAACGCGTCCTCTAGTGACTTGGCTGATTTATGGTAATACTTTTTTGGGATAATCCATGGAAAGTAAAATCCAATCACGTAATACGTCCGCTTTGTGTAACGCGGTGACGTAATGTCTTTAGACGCTGATTGGGTGTTCATTCAACTCAGACAGCCGGAAGTGGAGTTAGTAGGCAGAGAGGGCTACTTAATATTTTTGTGTATTGCATCGTAGTATTAGTGAGTGAGAGGTTTTAAATGTCATATGAAATGTATGACTGAAGGTCTCCGTCATCATAAGGTAAGAGGACCGTTAACCTCTGACAGTCGCTCCGGCGGTTAGCTGTTATTGACACATGCACTTTAGCTAGCTGTCTAGCTATTGCATCTAATCAGGCTAGCCAACTAACGTTAGGCTAACTTAGCATGTCCCCTGCCATCACAGCTAGTTGCTCATTATTACTGATTAACTGAGGTGTTTCGTTGCTTCTTTGAGTAAATCAGAAACAGTGAAAGACAGACAAATGCTGTTTGCGCCGCTTGATGATTAGCGGCCATGCTAAGTTCATCAGGTAGCCAGTTAATTGCTGTCAAACAAGAAAAGTTATAAAGTACAACGTGTTAACGTCACGCTCCAGGTGACCACAGACTGAGGCTAAGAGTGAGCGCAATCCAACAGTGGCAACTGAGTGTCATGTTATCATTGAGCGATAATACTGGAGCCGTCTCTTCGTCTTTGTGGTGCAGCTGTTGATTGATATTTTCAGTGTTCAATGTGGAAAGTGAGCATTAATTCCAGTGTATAGGTAAAGAGTCAGGCAAGAGTGTGCAACGTGATGTTGTACTGATTCCAAGTTACACCTGTATGTGCATGTTTGTAGATCCTTACTATTAATAAATAAGTGAAATATCACAATTTCAGTTTTGTGTTTCAGGGTGGATTTTCCTGTTGTCCTGGTTGTTCAGCTTGGTTTAGGATGTCAGGAGAGTACATTGAACTCACTGTTGGATAAAGATGTGCCCCACTGTTCCTTCCATATCTCCTGACCTAGACCTCTGACTGCCCTTGACACTGACAGCCATGAGTGACAGCACAGTGACCAGGAGCCAGCAGGAGTGGTCGGGGCCCCGGCCAACACAGCAGCAACCCCAGGGCCCCTACATCTCAGTCATCACCAACAGGTTAGCTCTGTGTCTGCCCTACATTGACCTTTATGTGTTATCCTTGACAGCATGCAGATATGGGGAACATGTGGTCAACTCTCTCATTGTGTCAAATAAATTAAACTAAAAATACCATGACGATGATGAAGGTGAAAGTGAATTTTTTAACCCACAACTCCCATAATGCCATTTTCTCTGATGGTTGTTCCAAGAATAACAGAGCTTTGGAAGGATATCTATAGTAGTCTGCTTGACATACTGTAGGCAGACTGCTTTCCTTTCACCAGGTTGTGTCAATTTGCACTATGAAATTTAACACTGTAGACATTTTCCTGACTCCTTTGGTTTTGTGTTGTAGAACCACCAACTTGGTAATCAGAGGGGCCATGCTGTTCTCTGTGGGCGTCTTCCTGGCCCTGGTGCTAAACTTACTTCAAGTGCAGAGAAACGTCACCCTCTTTCCCCCAGATGTCATCAGCAGTATCTTCTCCTCAGCCTGGTGGGTGCCGCCCTGCTGTGGTACGGCCTCAGGTATGTGAACACATCTCCCATAAAAAGTGAAAAAACACATCGGGTTCATTTTTGTCTTTACTTTTGTTACTTAAAAGAGAAGAGAGAAGAGTGTTGGTGGTGTTGACCCTGAGATGAAATGTCCTGAAAGGTGCTTTAGTGTTCTGGCATAAGTCTTTTCATACAGCATGAGAACTTAACAGCTTTGAGTTCAATGCAAATATTCTGTGCTCTTCTCTGTTGTGAGTCAGTCTTAAGCCAGGAGACCACTTCAAAATCTAATAACTTTCATATCTACATTAACTGCCAGATCTGCCTGCTCCCACACTGACATTGTAAGACAACAGGAGGCATCAGACTGCAAACTATAGTGGTTAAGATCACAGTAAGAAGCAGCTCAGCCACAGTGAACATGATGTAAAAAGAGGTACATAAGTAGTTTAAAGCTGAGTTCATACCAACATGTCACACAGGATGGCAGAGTGGAAAGTGGGTGGGAGATACAGTATTTTATAAATGTAGGTATAATGGGGTCCAATTATTAGACAGTCTCTCCTGGATGATGTTTGTAGTGTTGCAGTCATTTAAATGTTAAGTGGTAGTGGTGTTAAGAACAATACACATACAGTATATCAGTCATGGTGTGAAGTTGAATCTGAATGTTGAATTGGCAGGTACTGATATCTACAGTGGGGCAAAAAAGTTTAGTCAGCCACCAATTGTGCAAGTTCTCCCACTTAAAAAGATGAGGCCTCTAATTTTCATCATAGGTATACCTCAACTATGAGAGACAAAATGAGAAAAAAAAAAAAAAAAAAATCAGAAAATCACTGTCTGATTTTTAAAGAATTTATTTGCAAATTATGGTGGAAATAAGTATTTGGTCAATAACAAAGTTCATCTCAATACTTTGTTATTGTACCCTTTGTTGGTAATGACAGAGGTCAAATGTTTTCTGTAAGTCTTCACAAGGTTTTCACACACACTGTTGTTGGTATTTTGGCCCGTTCTCCATGCAGAGCTCCTCTAGAGCAGTGATGTTTGGGGGTGTCGCTGGGCAACACGGACTTTCACTCCCTCCAAAGATTTTCTATGGGGTTGAGATCTGGAGACTGGCTAGGCTAATGCTTCTTACGAAGCCTCTTTCATTGCCCGGGCGGTGTATTTGGGATCATGGTCATGCTGAAAGACCCAGCCACGTTTCATCTTCAAATGCCTTGCTGATGGAAGGAGGTTTTCACTCAAAATCTCATGATACATGCCCCATCTATTCTTTCCTTTACACGGATCAGTCGTCCTGGTCCCTTTGCAGAAAAACAGCCCAAAGCATGATGTTTCCACCCCATGCTTCACAGTAGGTATGGTGTTCTTTGGATGCAACTCAGCATTCTTTCTCCTCCAAACACGACAAGTTGAGTTTTTACCAAAAGTTCTATGTTTGGTTTCATATGACATTCTCAATCCTCTTCTGGATCATCCAAATGCTTCTAGCAAACTTCAGACGGCCTGGACATGTGCTGGCTTAAGCAGGGGGACACGTCTGGCACTGCAGGATTTGAGTCCCTGGCGGCGTAGTGTGTTACTGATGGTAGCCTTTGTTACTTTGGTCCCAGCTCTCTGCAGGTCATTACTAGGTCCCCCGTGTGGTTCTGGGATTTTTGCTCACCGTTCTTGTGATCATTTTGACCCCAGGGGTGAGATCTTGCGTGGAGCCCCAGATCGAGGGAGATTATCAGTGGTCTTGTATGTCTTCCATTTTCCAATTGCTCCCACAGTTGATTTCTTCACACCAAGCTGCTTACCTATTGCAGATTCAGTCTTCCCAGCCTGGTGCAGGTCTACAATTTTGTTTCTGGTGTCCTTTGACAGCTCTTTGGTCTCGGCCATAGTGGAGTTTGGAGTGTGACTGTTTGAGGTTGTGGACAGGTGTCTTTTATACTGATAACCAGTTCAAACAGGTGCCATTAATACAGGTAACGAGTGGAGGACAGAGGAACCTCTTAAAGAAGAAGTTACAGGTCTGTGAGAGCCAAAAATCTTACTTGTTTGTAGGTGACCAAATACTTATTTTACTGAGGAATTTACCAATTAATTCATTAAAAATCCTACAATGTGATTTCCTGGATTAGTTCCCCCCATTCTGTCTCTCATAGTTGAAGTGTACCTATGATGAAAATTACAGGCTTCTCTCATCTTTTTAAGTGGGAGAACTTGCAAAATTGGTGGCTGACTAAATACTTTTTTGCCCCACTGTATATGTAAAATACTGTTAAAGTATCGCATTTACTTTCTGCTTTTGCAAAGTTTTTTAAGTGGAGATGCCATAGATTTACATCTATTTATCTCAATCCACTTTTAATTCTTAACTCTAATTAATTCACATACTGATAAAATTGTGATTCTTATTGATCCACAGATTTCAAAAATAGATAAATTGTTAATAATGTTTTGTTGGCAAAACAAGAACGGTTCAACTGTGTTCACAGTTCACAGTCAAAACATACAACAGAGTTCACCTTCAAAGATTACAAGTGCTTCTGGATTTAATGGTTTAAAAATTAGCTTTGTAAGACAAAGGTGGAGTAAGGGGTGATTGTACACCATCACCTGGAGACTAATGTTGGTGAAGTGGAAACTCCAGCACTAGCAAACAGGCCGGCCAATCAACACACACCACAGCCAGATGAAGCCTGAAGACTTCAAGCGGCTTAATTTCTGTTTATTAAATCAAGAATACATTCTAAACTGAGTTAATTCTGAATCAAACAACAAGAAGCAAAACCATATTGTGAGATTCCCAGCCTGTCATAAATCTGAGTGAAACCAAAATTTATAGAGGGAATCTTCAATAACAGCAAAGATTTTAATCTTTACAATGTAACGAGACCCTGAGACAGCAGAGCGGTATTAATTAACTTTATCTGTATTATATACACACTGTGGTTAATTTAATCAAAGGGAGATATTTCCACTCTGTTGAGCTGAACAAATATAACATTTTTTATGCACTTAAGTAAGACTATCCATAATAGTGCAACCACTGCTCATAACATTTAAAAAAAAAAAAAAAGACACACACACACACACACACACACACACACACACACACAGTTTTACATATGAATGCTCAGCATGCCCACTAGGCCCGACTAGCCAGCGTTATTGAAATGTTGTCCCCTGAGTGTGAAGCTGAGGATGGAGATGAAGCGCAGTGCTGCCTGCTCCCAAGTGGTCCAGCACAAAGCACAACAGCCTGAGGCTCTCTTCATCCCCAGACACACTGCTCCTCCTGCAGGAGCCTGTCACTTCCACTTGTTGCTACTACACAATATGCTTCATACCCCAGGGGAGGGCTACTGCATTTTGTTGATGGTGTAAGAATTAATTTGTTTTGAAGCCACATTAGTGAGGTCAGAGGTTATCAGGGTGTGAGCTGCAGATCACTGCACTTTATTCTCATTTTTATAGAATACAAGTTGGCAGCGTCCATGGCCTGCTGTAGGAAATAAAATAATTTTCTATTAAAGGATATTGGAATCGGGTGCTGTGTGAAGCATTTATTTAATCTGTTATCATTTTAGTAGTAGTCTTTGTAGTAATTTTGTGTTTCATTGTAGTTATGTGTCTCTTTGTAGTTATTTTGTGTCAATTTGTAGTTGTTTTATGTTACTTTGTTGTTGTATGTTGTTGTTTGTTCTCTTTGTGGTTGATTCATGTTTTATTGTAGTTTTTTGTGTTTGTAATTGTTTTGTGTCTCTGTAGTTGTTTTGTGTTTCTTTGTAGTGTTGTGTCTCTTTGTAGTTGTTTTGTGTCTCTGTAGATGTTTTGTGTCACTTTGCAGTTGTGTTATGCTTCAGTGTAGTTTTTTAGTCTCTTTGTAGTTGTTTCATGTTTTATTGTAGTTGATTTGTGTCTGTAGTTGTTTTGTGTTTCATTGTAGTTGTTTTGTGTCTCTTTGTAGTTGTTTTGTCTCTTTGTAGTTTTGTGTTTCTTTGAAGTTCTTTTGTTTCTTTGCAGTTGTTTTGTGTCTTTTTGTAGTTATTTTGTGTCTCTGCAGTTATGTGTCTCTTTGTAGTTGTTCAATTGACTTTTCTACAAGAACTATAAACAGTCACTTCAAATAGAGTCTGTGGTCCAGGGGCCCCTGACCCTGTGGGCCCCTGGACCTGTGTATGGCCATTCAGTAATCCTTCTGTGTGAGTGTGCTATCAGAGTAGCATGGATGCTGTATAATCCTCAGCACAACACCACGGCAGACATGTTGACTCTGGCAGTAGTGAGAGCTGTTGTGTGACCTCTTGTTTTCCTGCTCTGTGCTCATTTTGTCCCCCCCCTCCCTCCCCACACACACACACACACACAGCATTGATCGGCCTGTTGTACCCCTGCATCGACAGACAGCTGGGAGAGCCACACAAGTTCAAGAGGGAGTGGTCCAGTGTGATGCGCTGCGTGGCTGTGTTTGTGGGCATCAACCATGCCAGTGCTGTATCCTTCTCTCATATGTTGTTGCTGTTTCTGATAGTCTGTCTCAGACCATGATAAGTTCTAATATTTCTCCACTGTATTTACAGTGTGGGAAAAGTTTTATCTACATTTGTTGATTTTAAGACTAACTAGGTCAAAGGTTGAGACAACAGTAAAGCTAAATAAATACTGTTTGGAGCTGTCAGCTCCTGACAACCTGGTCCTTGACCCCACCTCTGTCAGAAAGTGGACTTTGCCAACAACATCCAGCTGTCTCTGACACTGGCAGCGCTCTCCATCGGTCTGTGGTGGACGTTCGACCGCTCCCGAAGTGGCTTCGGCCTCGGAGTTGGCATCGCCCTGCTGGCAACATTGGCCACACAGCTCCTGGTCTACAATGGAGTCTTTCAGTAAGTTAATACAAGTGCACATCTAAAAACAACAAATGTTCACCAAAGTGCTTTACAGAGATGAAATTAAGAGATTGACCACAATAAGATAAATAAGAGGATATAAGTAAAATTATCAAAAGCATATCTGGATAAATCATAGAAACACAAACCCTATTGAGAGAATAAACAAACACAGAGTGTTGTCAGTCATGGTGACTGGTAGTAGGCTAAAGAAAAGAGATGGGTCCTGAGACAGGTTTTAAAGATTTTAGTGGAGGAGAACATCTAAACTATTGCACAGTTTAGGACCAACAATGGGAAACAATCCATCACCTTTGGATTTTAACTGGCTGCTTGTATGGAGCGCAGTGATTGGTCAGCAGATCTCAGAGGTCTGGAGGTGGAACAGGAGACCATCACTTCAGAGATGTAACCTGGTGCAGGTTCATGCAAGAACCAAAGAATCTAAGATCAGTTGTGTAGTTGACTGGTGACTAGTGAAGAGAGATCAGTACAGGTCAGATAAATTAAATTCAAAATTACACCTGAGGCAAAAATGAATGTACGAACAGAAGCTGAAGAACAACAGGAAATGTTGTGCCACCAGTGTTACCTGTTCATTATACAGCTACAACCTCCACCAGCAGTACAGCACTGGATTTGTACAGATGAAACTGGCCTATAACAAGATTAACACAAAATCATTTGTTCTGCATTTCTTTTGTAATTTGTATTTGTCTGTCTGAGAAATTTTAGAATATTTGACCGTTTATTAGACAGTCATTCAAACCTGACTGTCAGCGCAAACACAGCTGAGTGAAGTGGTGGTACATGTTATTTAAAGAATGACCTCCTGCTGTAACATGCTTCTTTTCTGCACAGGTATACGTCTCCAGACTTCCTGTACATCCGCTCCTGGTTACCTTGTATCTTCTTTGCGGGGGTGATAACGATGGGAAACATAGGACGGCAGCTAGCTTTGGTAAGAGACTGGAACCATGTCTGTTGGGTTAGTGTTAGATTCATGTTTTTGGTGGATTGTAATGCAAAAAACACAACAAAGAGTTCATGATGTATCTGTCCTGTGTATAACACTTCTTCTTTTCTTCTTGTTTTTCAGTATGAATATAAATTCATTCAAGAGAAGACCCATCAGGACTGAGGAGTCTCTTTTCTCCATCAGGCCTCTGTCTTTGCAGCAGCCTGAAGCCAGGGACAGGTCATCAGAGAACATCTGCATGCAGCACAGACCAGGACTGTTGGCCCTGGATGAGCCAGTCAGATATGTCCAATGAGCCCCGAGCTCCTGATTGGCTCCCCGGTGCTTTTCGCTGGACTAGACAGTATTTTTGGTTGGCTCTGGTCAGGCCGTTCCGTTTGGAGCGGTCACTGGCTTCGTTCTAACCTGAGCTGAGGTGAACAATGAGAGTGGAGTTTGTTGTGTGTTTCCTTTGGTGTGGTTTATCTCTACTTACCTGGGAGGGGATTAGCAGCGAAGCATCTATCGTTCTTCAGATCAGCTCGGATGTTTGAAACCTTTGGCTCCATTGTGCCAAACACAGTCACACAGGGATCAGTTTTAAACTCTGCTCTTATCGCCTCGTTCTGTCACATCCTTCACGTGTCAGTGGAGAACATGCAGCCCAGTTCATTTATATCTAGAGAGAAATGCATCTACACCGACCTGTTATTGTATGTAATGAGCCGACTCTGTATCTACATGTAACTTGATAAAGGAGAGATAATTTGTACTGTATGTGCAGTGGAGCCATACTGACATGTACAGGATACATGAACAGAGATTTCTTTCTTACTGACTGTGTGAAGCTCTTTGTTGGAAGTGAATGGTTCATTTTGATTTTACACCAGCAGAGGAAATGAGCTTCATCCGTACATAAGCACTGGCCTGAGCTGTGAGCATGTTAAGCACATTTCTTCTCAACATCCATTTATGTTTTTAAATCTTCATTTCAGGGAGAAATGTTTGTCCTATAGCTTCCTCAGTTAAAAAGCAGCATTCAGTAGAAAGGCCAAATCTCCCAGTTCATTGTCTTCATTCAGCACTGGACGGAAATATGATGGTTCTCCTTCATGAACCATGACACTGAGTATGAATTATGACAGTAGATAATAGAAACAGGAAGAATCAAATCAACTATGTCTAGTGTCAGGATTTTCTCTCTTATTTTCATGCACGTTGAATTTCTTTGTTCAAAGGTCAGTTACATGATTCACTACAGGAGGGACATTGCACTTAACTTGAAGAATACAAATCTAGTGTTCAGCAGTGTTACAGTCTGAAGTTCTATTGATGGAATCCTCCTGGCAGAAACCATTAAAGAAGAAAATGTGCATCATATAAACAAGGAGCACTTGCATCTGTAGGAGGTGGGACTAGGTCATTTAAGGGACATTTCTAACAACTTTGTGATGAAATATGAAATATAATAAGAATTCCAGCATTTAAAAGAGATAACAACAGTGTTTTGTAATATCTGATTACATAGGTTAGATGATGTGGAGCCTTTTTAATGCATTTTTCTAGGGTAGCGTTTTGTATCAGTAACATCTGTTAAAATATGAGAGATTGCTACGAACCTTTATGGATGAAGTGTACAGTGGTTAAACAGGGATTAACAGCTCCACTCATTTACACAAACCTCTGAATCTGAACATGTAATAAAACCACAAGCTTTTGGTAACTGCCTCTGATTTCTCTGTTCATAAGTCACACACTTTCTTCTCTGTTTTTTACATTTAATATTTTAAGGAAATCCTCAGGAACAGCGAAAGTCTCGGAAACAATTTCCAGTGCAGTTTAATTGTATAAATCACATACCAATAAAATACTGACTGGTTCCTAGTGGTACTTCAATATAAAGTGGAAGAAAACAAATCTGGGAGGAACCAGGGGTGTTCTGAGATATTGACGATAACGTCATATCTAAACAATAAAATGTTAGCATCATGTTAATAATACAGATATGATAATATTGTGATGGTAGTTTGTTAGGCCTCGAGGGTCTTCATCAGTTCATCTTGTTGTCTTTTCACTATCCATTCGGTATAATTGTTCTTTTAGTACAGTTATAGTTACAGACTATCCACCTCCCTACACTCTTGTCTGAGTCTGAATCATTTGAAAAAAAAGAAAAAACAAGCAAAGTTAAGGCTGAATTTGATAAAATTATTATTACTTCATCTTCAGACATTAAACGTTAGCCACACACATCTATTTGTATGTCATGACTTTATGGCGCTGTCATGTAATACTTTTTTCATCCTCAGAAGACAACAGAAAACTTTCATAGAGAAGTGCGTTTGTTTTAACTGTCAGGACCTGCTGCAGTGGTGGACCACTGTGACTTCTAGGAGAAAATATTTATATTTGGTACAGACCCATTTCCTCATTTCAAGTAACACACTGCAGTAAACAACATATATATGACATCAATAAATCCCTGTGGATGTGGTAATAATATATAATACAGTAATATTGTATATTGTGATATTTGGGCTGCATTGTATGGAGATATTAAATGTTGGATATCATCCAAACCTATTAATCACACAATAAGAAACAGTGACCCAGTACTATACCCTGTAGGTATCCTGTATTTACTAAAATACTTTCACTTATCTCTCTGTAAACCAGTACGTTTGTCACTGGTTCCTAATTCATAAAACAATATTTTGAAGTGTCTCTCTCTTCTTCTATAGAGTCCTGACCGGGACAGCAACAACAATATACGACAGATGACCCATAAAAATGACATAACAAAATCAGCATGAAACAAATGGAATTATGAAATCATGAATGGAATTTAAAATGAAATCAGATAAAAGACTTAATAACAACAAAAACAACCTAAAAACTGTTTAAAACCAGAGAGACAGAGCACAATGATTCAACTAAATCTAATGATCAGAATCTTTGTTATGTTAGATTTGATGAAGATGTTCTCAAAAAATCCATTCAGCCTGGATGTTTGTTAAGACCAGTGTCTTTATTTCAAATAACTTGTCACTGAAAACATCAGATTAATTAAACTTAATAAAATACTGTGTTTATTTGAATCATGTTATTGTGATTATGAATGTATGAATTTTATTTTTAACTTCAGGGTTTTTGAACTTTAGGATGTTAATGTGGAGAATTTTATACAAACACAACAGCAAACTCAGACATCTGACATCATGTGATATTTAACTGGAAAAATGTCTGTTGTGTGAAAACTAAAAGTACAGGCAGGCTGTAGTAGTCGGCTGATGTATGCTAAGATACATTTAATCAGTATCTGTAAAATCATATGCGACAATATATGTGAAAATTTCATCACAACTCAAAAATACATGAAATCAAACACATGTATGAATTTACATGTTTCTATTATAAACTTTGATCAGACTGTGTTTTGGGAATGGAAGTAAACTGGAGATGTAGGTAAACTGGCTCACAGCTCTGTGTGGGATATTTTTAAAGTTAAACTTGGTTGTGCTGCATTAAAAGTCTAAAACCTATTTAAAGCTCCACATAATTAAGTGGAGATGCTACATATCTGGCACAAATGCTGCACACACACTGCACTGCCACGGCAAAATTGCACACATCAACTGGTACAGTGTTCATTGCTAATGTGGATTAATGTGTCCTGTCTTATTCCAGCTCCCACAGACACGGGCTCGTATAGACAAAAGTAATTAAGATGAATAATCAGGATTTAAAGAGCCTTTGTTTGTATTATTGCTAAATTCCGGGATAAGGACACAGTTTCTCTGAGCTTTACATGAGTTTATGAGGCAATTTGCTGTGTGAATGTTATTGTTCAAGGCTAACTAGCTAGTAAAACAATAGGCGTGATGTGTCATAGCAGTAAGTGCTGCTCCAAAGAGCTAAACTTCCCACCACTAATGAATTCATTAATCTCTCTATTTATTCCTGACAAGCAATTATCTCCTCTCACAGAGTGAGGGTCAGGAGGCAAGGTTGAGAGCTCTCTCACATATTTGCTGAAGAGGAGACATGAAACAGGACCTCATACAATGTACTACTTACTGTTTTGGTTAGTCCAGTACTTCTTTAATAATCCCTCACCTGCTGTTTTTAATGTTAATCTTCATCCAAATATAGATCTGAGTTATTGACATTAGTTTCCACATGTTGTCTTGGACACGCCTGTAAACACCCACACTGGATAACCCATGACAGTTCTCACCTCACCATGCCTCTGTCTAAAACTATAAGACAGTTCAGTTTCATTCAGGCACCATTTCCCTTTTCTGTCTACCTGTTCAGAAGGAGCACAAAGTTAGTCTTACAGATGAATTCACAAACTGTTAAGATAAGCCTGCACAAGTTCAAAATGTTTGAACTTGAACAAAAAAATTACACTTATCACAGAGCTTTACAACTTTATTACTACATTATTACATCAGTACTCAGTGGCCATTACTACATTATTACATCAGTACTCAGTGGTCGTTACTACATCATTACATCAGCACTCAGTAGTCATTACAACATTATAACATCAGTACTCAGTAGTCATTACTACATTATTACATCAGTACTCAGTAGTCATTACTACATTATTACAACAGCACTGACATAAACTGCAATGTAATTGGTGACATCACAGAATGTTGCTTTGAATACAGACAAATACCATGTATAATGATGTCACATAAACTGTGATGTCATCAGAGCCCACTGACAGGTACATTTTTGAATGGGCACTGCACTACTTTTTATAAAACCACCACTATCACCAGCCTGTGTCACCCCGTCAAAACCTCATCCGCCTCACCACATGTAAATCTTGCTAGGTATGCCACTGGTGCAGGGACTCATAAAGTTTGACCTTGCACTCACTTGTGTGTTTTGCACACATAGTGGGACACAAAACCTATAAAAGGCATGCAGTAATCGCTGAGGACAGGCCAAATACAAAGAAATAGGTCTTAGCGGGGAACCACAGTGCTCCATCTCCAGCTCATCTCTGAGGGATGACCGTCTAAACTGGAATAAAACCCTGTTAAACTGTGTCACAACATGAATCACTGCCCCAGGAGACATCCATCACTGCTTAAAAGGTGACCACAAATGATCTGTGAACCACTAGATATTGATTACTCATGTGCTGCAGGTGTCAGGTTTAATGTTGCAGTGGCTTGATAGTGTCGCCTCTGACAGCCGCTGCCCTAACTCTCCTCTGATAGATTTTAATGGTGAAATATTGATTTCTTTTCTGGCCAAGGTCTGCAAGCAAGGGCCAGATCATTTGTTGGGGTAATGCAGGACACTCTGTGCCCTGGTCCCAATCAATCATTTTGACAGGGCTCACCAAAGAGAAAAGGAAGAAGGAGGAGGAAAGAAAATCAAACCTGGTGAAGCTACCGTGGATACATCCACATTCAGATTTTAAAGGCCTGCAAAGCCGAGAGATAGAAAGAGAGCGGACAGAGAGAGAGAGAGAGAGAGAGAGAGAGAGAGAGAGAGAGGAGAGCAGATATCTCCGACACTGGTTCCAGTTAATATGAATACTAATGATGTGTTTATTGAGTGGGAATGCTCAGCAAATCACAGCTGACGGGATAACAGTCGGAGTGCCTTGAGCAGGGAATGAGGATCTTGGAGAGAGGGTCTATATTTTATTTAAGCAGCTCTCGGCTTGGGCTGGGAGAGAGACTCAGGTAATGTGTTGTGTTACAACTCAGTGGTTGTTCCCCCCAGCCGGAGCGATAACAGACTTGCTAATGGGAAGCCATCAATCACAATCAGCCTCCTATTCCACCAGTGTCTCCACTCTCCTCAGCTCTGTAAGAGGGAGCTGGAATAGAGGTAATAATGGAGTTTTGTGGCTTAGCAGCTGTAGCTGCAGCAGCAGCACATCCCAGACTCATATTTCCAGCCAGAACAATGGATGCTTTGCCATGTCAGCATGTCTTTTAATAAGAGAGCCACAAAACGGCCATGAGAAGCAGTTAAGGCCTGGATGAGGCCTTGGGTGGCTGGGGGAGAGTAGAATGAATGCAAAGCCGGTCTCAGGTGGGACAAGTGTGTTGGGTGTTTGGTGCCAAAAGCCGTTAATTGGTTTTTCATTACACTCTGCTCAGTCTACTGTTACATCCACAGAGCAAAGACTGCAGACAAAGGACAAGTGAAGGAACGGATAAATGAACGAGAAGGGGTGAAGACAAGGACACATGTGTAAATACATACTGGATAGTTCTGACCTTTTATAGTCAATTTTATCAGTGGAGGATTCAAGTTGAAATATAAAACAACCAGGACAGAAGAAAGAGGTGTTACTGTGTGACAACTGATTGTCTCTTTGGCTGACTCTCAAACATGGTTTGAACTTCACAAAACAACACTAAAAGTTTGCCAATTTGCCAGGAGCCATATTTAACAGTTTGTAAGAATTACATTTATTTTTTACAATGTCTAACTCATATTTCTCTGTACTGAGTTTATCAACATGCAGCTCATCTGTCTAGTGAATCGCACATCTAAGATGCACTAATCATCAAAACACATCTCAGGATGAACTCTTGTACCAGAACACACTGAGAAAACACTGACCTAAATAACACTAACAACAGGCAGCATGGATCACTATTGTCTTTGAAGCAGCTTTTATTCATTTATTTATTTAACGTAAACCAAGATTCCATTACTACAAAAA